CCCATCGATATAAGCTGCATGAGACTCTGCCCGTAGCCCAGTACTATAGTTATCAGGCAGCGCAAGTCGTTCGTGTGCCACCGGCGCGGCGGCGACAAGAGACCCCCTGCGAGAGTGGTTTCCCTGGCGTTCGAAGAACACACAACGCCGATATGTAGCAGATGGGGATGGGGTAGAAACACCTGCTTGACTGGGCGGGCCGATAGGGGCCCTCATCCTCGCCGTGACGGGTCTTCGGATGGCGGAGGGTTTACGACTCAGCCAGTGGCGTGGACATCCGCAAGTGAGCGCCGTCAGGGCGTCGTGCGTGGCGGGGGTAGAGTTTAGGAACTGAGACGCGTCCCAGCTTATGAGCCTCTCTCTATGATCCTCCGCTCCAGGCTCCGACAAGCAAATAGTTAAACACTATTTGGCCAGTGAGTCGGACATCGAAATTCCAGTGTCCATTGCTTTAGCACTTGATTTAACGAGACGATGTACTCGTATTCAACGTTATGACAACACATTTCTCCTCGAAGGAGTGAACAACAATCCAAAAATTCTGCATCTTCGACAGAAGATACAAGGCTACAAACCGGGTCCGGAGACCACAGCTTGATTCATTTCAGCCAAAAACGGTCCCAAGCCGCACCCGTCTACCACCCTCGTACACCGAGCCATGCTGACGACGAAAGACTTCGGCTACTGTGGATGGCATCCACAGCAGTGTTTCCGGGGCAGAGTAATTGACACTCGCAACATTGTGCTGCAAGGATAACCAAATCCTCACAAAGCCAAGGTAACCAGTGGGCTGGAAGCCACCAACGCCTTTGGCCAGTGCCACGACCCTCACCGGTCGCTCGGTGAGATAACCACCTGACAAGGCATCCTCTACACCCTTGCGAGGGTAGCCTGTGGCTGATGGTGAATAAACTAAGCCTCTGCCCATGCTTGCATCAGACCATCATCGCACAGGCCAATCCATGTGTCGTCAACACAGCGGCGGCGAGAGACCCCCTGCGAGAGTGATCTTCCCGGCATTCGAAAGAACGCACGGTGCCGATAAGTAGCAGAGCAGGCTAGGCAAGGAACGTGCCCATTCGACTGTACGCGCTGAAAGAACCCTCATCCTCGCCGCAATGGGTCTTCGGATGACAGAACTCCAAGCCTCTTGCATGCAGGCCTCAGCGCGTAGTGTAAAAACCCGCGAGTGAATGCCGACGGGGCATTATGCGTGGCGGGGATGGCGGTCGACAATATAACGCCGACAGGAGCTCCGGCGGTCGTTGACCCCTCTCGGAGCGCCGTGCGGGATCGGAGCCGGACCGCGTGACACCATCGGTTCTCAAAGTCGTATGCAGCTGAGATACTATGGATTGCTATAAGCGAAGCCGGGGGAGTCCTGAGAATGCTTTACTCTCTCTCCGTCCACCACCTCTGACGGTCTGCGAGGATGGCGCTCGTACATTTGCAAGAGGAACTCATCAAGAGCAGCACCCCGGTGACTGTTGAGACGCGCTTTGGGCCCGTGCGAGGCGGACGAGCAGCGAATGGTGCAGCTACATTCCTGGGTATGTAAGTGGCGTGGCACGCTCTGTACAAGGCCATTGATAGTACCGCAGAGGTTCCCTACGCGCTGCCCCCACGCAGGTTCCAGGATCCACAATCTCTTCCTGCAGACTACCGTTATGAAGACAAGGACTATATCTACGAGGCTTCTTGTGAGTAAAGCGCGGCTCAGCGCGCGATGCAATCGTAACGCGCCGTGCATGTAGATTGTGCCCAGCCTAATAATGACGGACAGTCCGCAGGTAAGCGGGCCACGCGATCTTCCCTCGGCCCCTTGCTCATGGGATGGACAGGCACGCTCTACGAAGATGTAGTCGGTCTAGGAAAGCCCTCTGAGAACCCGTATGCCTACTTTGGCTTGTCTTTCAGCAGGTGAAAATAACCGCCTTACAGCTTGTTTGTCAATATCGTCGCGCCGCCTTCTTTTCCCTCGCAACAGAACTTCCCTGTAAAAGTCTATATCCATGGCGGGTATGGATATTAAACTGCATATAATCTATTATCTTCACTGATATTATTCTGCGTATAGATTTCTCCAATTCGGCTCCCCTCATGGGCTGAAAGCGCAAGCGCAATACGTTGCTGCTGAGCGTTCAGAGGTCTGGGTTAACATCGGTTACAGGCTGTCGGCCTTTGGGTTTCTTGCATGTGATGAGCCCAGAATTACGGGCAATTATGGTTTCAAGGACCAGTGGCTTGCGGTGCGATGGATAAAAGAGAACATCTCTTCCTTCGGCGGTTGGTAATCTCATGTACACATGCACTGCAGCTTGCTCATCGTCCTGTCTAGGTGACCCTAGCGATATCCAGTTATACGGGCTGTCCGCAGGTGCCCACGCTGTACACCAGCTGCTTCATCACATCTCGCGACTACCAGAGGGCCAAGTCTCGCCCTTTCGTAGTGCTGTGCTGCAGTCGAACGCGATAATGCTAGTCTACTTCGTCAGTCGGAAGAATGTTGCTAAACTTCAGTGTCTAGCTTGCCTCCGAAGAATCCCGCTAGCCTACGACCCCAGTTCCAGGCTCTGTGCCGTGCTGTCGGCATCGACCCCGCCGCGCCCGATGCTTTCGCCAAACTCAGCGACCCTGCAGTTGTTCCCGCCTCAGTTATCACCCACGCCATTGAGACCGATGCGACAGGACCGGAGCACGGCACCTTCCGCGGCTGCCTGGACGGGGACTGGCTTGCGACAAGACCGAGTCCTATGGAATGGCAGCGCAGCGGCGAGTTTGCTCGAGCACTGAAAGCAAAGGGCGTTCGGAGCATCGTCGTAGGTGACCTTACGGAAGAGTGGTACCTATATGCAATTGCGTGCGGCGAGCTTCACAGCATGGACGAGGTCAAGACAAACCTCGAGCGGTTCTACCCAACGGACTTCAATAACAAGGTCGTGCCGCTGTGGCGGACAGTCCCGGAGGGCTCACCTCCGGAAGACTTCATGAGGCTTTTTGGCGAGATCTCGTCGATGGCACAAGTGCACTGCCCAGTCCGCATCCTTGCACGAGACCTCATCAACGCAGGGTTCCCCGTGCTGCGCTACGAGATTGCGTGGACTCCGGAGCAGGTCCGGCCTAAAGGTCAGTACTGGACACTACTCTGTATAGCCGGACGCTTACCGATCGGTACGTACAGGATACGTTACCCACAGTACGGACCGCTATCTGTGGACGCTCCGATTACCTATCCTTGAGGACGACCAGGCTGCCGTTGCACGTGCATGGCTCAATGTCATCGCGCGCGAGGTCGACGCTCTGGAGGAGCACGGCGGTGCGAAGCATACGGTTAAACAGATTTTGGCGTTAACGAAGGAGAAGCAGATTGGGTGGCAAGAGGATAAGCTCTGGGACCAGCACATGAGAGCGGTTTCTGCGCTTCCTGGAGAGGTCTGAAAGCCTTGCAGAATGGTAGGCTCCTTGTGTGCTTACATTGATATCTGCTGTGTACTGACTCCACAGACACTAGGGCGATAACGGATCAAGGACTTGAAACATGTACACTAACTGGCGTGTCCCCAGCAATGCAATGCGCCGGCATGGCCTCACCGTTCGCCTTTCGCATTTTGGGCTCAGGGTCATAGTTGACACCGCAAATAAAGGACGTATGTCTTCTGTAACGACATTTCTGTGATAAGCGTGCCTTGTGGCTGTGAGCCATAATGGAGTCGAGTCAGATATGGGGGCGCTAAGGGCCGGCAGGTCTGCGTGGCAATGACTGCCAAGTCGCGGTTGGCATACGTTTCGCTCTTCACGACGGACGCACGGACATGTTCACAGGAGTCAGCAGCGTGCGATGCACACCCCATTCCAGAGAACGATCAGTTGCACAGCCCTGGAAAACAAGCGCTTATACAACGGGTCAACAGGCTTCCCGTGAAGCCACGACAACAAGTTCCGCCTCGACCACGGTAGCCTCGATTGCGCCCTTTGTATTGATGTTTCCCACCATTTCCTGGCTGTGCAGATGTGCGAGTTCCTTAAATACGGTCGTGGTATGCCTCGCCTCCAGCACTATTCTTTCGCACTCACCAGCTAAGGTCATCATATGGACACTCTCAGCGTCACGGACAACACTACTGTCGTGGGCGGCCCATCCTCTGCTATTGGGGATGCTGACTTCTTGAAGAAAACGCCGCAGCTGTCCACTGCTGCGCTGAACCACCGGTCAACGAGCCACCCTGGTTCCAAAATGTTCGTCGGTGGTGCAGACTACTTTGACACGAACAGGCATTTCTTCGTCAAGATTGGCAAAGATGGCCTGATCGTCGCACTAAACAAGCTCGACAAGGAGCTGCAGGAGGTAAGAACGCGAACTCGTCCTGATTTGCGGCCCCGCTGACTGTCGGTCACCAGGCTCAAGGCACCCATATATTGTCTCACAAGCATCCAGTCTCGTGGATTGGCAAGGAGATCACCCCTGGTCAGCTTGGGCTAATCAACCACGGTGGCCTGCCCAAACTTCTCACCCGTGCCGGACGATACCCTGGATTCCCACTGCGGAATTGGTGGGCAAGAGAGTGGTGCGGCACACATGGACGTAAGTGTACTTCCCTGTTTCCATGCAAACGAGCCTGATGTTTCGTTGTAGTGTCAGACACTGTCATCTCGTTCCAAGGTCTCACTGTCGTCCAGGTTTCGCAGAACCAGGCGGCGGTGGTGTCCGATCCTCAGAATCAGATTTTCGTAATTAAGAACTCGGGCTTCGTCGCTTATGCAGTCGAGGGGTCCTACGACGTGTTAGCCATCATCGACCAGACGCACCTGTCCCATCAAGTAACAGATAATTCGACGGGTGTGGTTCTGGGATGGAAGGAAGAGGTCACGATGCCCAGTGCTCTCGCTGGCGGCAAGCGCAAGGAATACGTTGTGGCTCTATTGTACGTGCGCGACGTAGGTTCATGTTCTGCTAGACATGCTGACTATTCGGCTCTGTAGCCTGAATATTCCAGCGAACAACTGTGCTATTCTGCAGAAGGGCGACGACCTTGAGCTCCTCCCAGCCGGACAGCATTACATCACGAATCCGAATATCACGCTGCGCGGCATGTACACTCTCGGAGAGAACCAGAAGGAAATGCCTACCAAGGACATGTACGTGTCGCATTTCAGCTTCTTTCAGCTCTTCTAACGATACATGACAGCTTCACGCGCGATCAAGTCCCTGTTAGCTTGACGATCTACTTCAAGTGGCAGCTTATGGAACCTCTTAAGGTGGGATCTCATATGTTCATAGGTAAAGACGGATTTTTGACAGCTGCTTTAGCTTGCAACGCATGGATACCACACTCCATATGATGCCTTACGAGACAAGACGCAGTCTATCTTGACACAGATTGTCGCCCATCGTGCGTAGATTGACATGCTTAATCTAACACTGTCCTAAGGGCTAGCACAGTGGATTACAGCTCTATGGTTAAGCAGCGCTCACTGGGCCCCAATATGGATGATGACACCGACCCTTCATCGGTCTTCCTCGACGCCCTCCGTACGCGTGCCATGGATGACCTACATCTCGCGGCTCTAGAATATGGCATCGTCCTCAAGGATCTGGGTGCGTTGACTCCTGTGGATCCTTGACTGAGTTCGTGCTAATGGGGCATGGCTTTCGCGTAGCTGTCATCGACCGTCAATTCAAGGGTGACATCGCGGCCACGATGGACAAGCTGACCACGAGGGCACTTCAGGCCCAAGTAGAGGCTGCAGTAAGTATCTATCTACGCTCAAATTCAGACTCGCGTGTCTGACTTGCATTTCAGAATGTTGACAGGGAGAACAGCAATAAGATCAAGCAAGAAGAGGGCTCCCTTGCTGTTGCACGCGTGAAAGCAGAAGCTCGCAATGTGAGTAACACGACAACAGGACCTCTCGTCTTCAGAAGATTGACCTATGCCTTCGCAGACACAAGCAGACGCCGAAGCGTACAGCGTTGTTGCTGCCGCCAAGGCGCAAGCGCAGAAGCTTCAGATCGAGGCTGAGGCACAGGCAAAGGTCACAAAGTTTGCCGCGGAAGCAGAGGCCGAGGCGGTCAGAGTCAAGGCTGAGGCCGATGCAAACGTCCGAGACCAGTTCGCTCGGGAGATGGAGTTCCGTAGAATGGAAGTCTCGCGGGTGAGAGCCTTTGGGTCGAGGACAGTCTTCGTCCCTACCCAGGGTCTCGGGGCCCAGATGGCTGACTCGATGGCGGTCGGGATGGCTGCCGGCATGGGTTCAAGTTCAAAGCCGTAATATCCATGTAATTGCTGGCAAGGATACCTTTCATTTTTTTTCTGATACCCTTCAGTCTACTTTCTAACATAATATCATGTACCGTAATATCTCGGACATTTATGTCGGAATTCTTGTCACAGTCTTGTCACGTACCATCACAACCCTGTCACTGAGGCAGCAGCGCGAGCGTGACGAATTAGTGCTTCACTTGCTCCACGATGGCTGCCCGACAAACGAGACACGACGGCCGCGATAACGACGAGCTCCGGCCAGTAACGATAAAGTATGAGGGACTGGACAGGGTAGATGGCTCGGCTAAGTTTGGTTTCGGTGGGTACCAGGCTATTCGAGTCCGCTTTGCCGCTAATCCGAACGCTGAAAAGACTTGCTCAACAATTCGTAGGTCAAACACAGGCTTTGGCATCTCTGTCGGGACCTATCGAAATCCGGCCAAACCTCGAATTGCCCTCACAAGCGACACTCGAAATTCACATTCGACCTCTCGCTTCCGTGCCTGGTACGGACTCGAGAGCACTCGCCGCGACGCTCAAAGCGGTGCTCAGCCCGTCCCTCCTCCTCTCGCACCATCCACGAACTCTTGTCCAGATTGTTGGACAGGCTTTATGCGGAAGTGACTCAGGTAGCGGTCTGGGAAGCACTGGGCGAGGGTGGAACGCGAGTCTCGTCGCGAGTCTGGTCAACGCTTGCAGCGCCTCGCTCATTAATGCGGGCTCGGTGCCCATAAAGGGCGTCGTCTGCGCTGCCTCTGTTGGACGCATACCAGACCTCAACGACTCTGGATCCTATGTCTTGGTCCTCGACCCGTCAGAAGCTGAGCTTGCGTCCCTGGAAGGCGGAGGTTGCTTCGTCTTCATGTTTGCATCCACCCTTCCGCCATCACCAGACGACGATCAAGATACGCCCCATACTTCCCTGCTCTGGACCAACTATACGGCAACTTCTGGAGTTATCGACGATGCCGAGTTTATGGAGGCCAAAAACCTGGCGCTCGAGGGTGCGCAAGAGATCTGGGCGTTGTTCAAAGGTAGCATCAAGCCTAGTCACTCAACCTCTGGTGAGATTGTCAACGAGCGGGAGCTGCAAGCGAGGGAGGACCAACAACCACCAAGCGCTGGAATGGACGATAGTACGATGGAAATATAGGTGTGCGATGATTACCGCTCTTCATGTCCGTCGCCCTGGCTGATACCGACAACAGCACCGAGCCGATTGTTCGGTATACGAGCCCCAAAGATGAAGATGTGCTCGAGAGACGTGGTCAGCTTGCAAAGCGTTGGCGGTTGCCAGGAAGGAAGGAAGTGGTACGGGTGGCAAGCACAGTTCGCGCCGCATCCATCCATTTGCCGAAAGCGGGTATTGATGCGCCTTCCGGTGATGCGCTCGTGTTGATGCGCCCAGGAATCAGGGCCAACAAAAAAACCACCACGGGCAAACGCAGAACAGAAAATCCTGCGCTATGTCCATGGACTCAGCGGCCAACAAAATGTAGAAATGATCATGTAAAAGCCGGCTGGCCTTCTGGTTAACCAATGCGATCGGAAGTTCCTGGGTCGAACAGGACGAGGACCAGTGTCGCGCAACAAGTCAACGGGCTCTGCAGCACATAAAATGTGACGTACACATAAGTCTCATAGCCACAGTCAATTTGTGCACGGCTAACGGGACGAACAGACAGAATTCGTCAAAATCAATAATTGCTATCAGAGTCCAAGTTGTCGCCAGCGTCGCCGAGGTGATAAAGCAGACCTACGCCGAGGCAGGGGCCGACGCTGACAAGTGAGTACCGACAGCAGGGGAATAGTTGGGTACAATAAGAGGGGCACGCGAGAGCGACTGGAGCAGCGTCGGGATGGGTCCTTATAACTGCACGACAGCAACCGGATCAGGGAGGTGATCGCGCTTCCTCACGCAGAAGCAGCGTAAAGAAGACGTGCGCCGTGATGCAATGTCCAAGAAGCACAGGGACTGACCAGTAAAAGCGAAGGGTGAGACGCTTCCCACGGGCATTTTCTCACCGTTCCGCTTCCAACGTGGCCACAAGGGGCAGTACAAGGCGAGTCTACACACTTTTGAGTCAGAAGTACGAGCCCCTAGCGGATGGACGAGATTGCGACGTACCTGGTGAGATTTTGCGCACCGCACAGGGTGGTCTGAGGCTTACTGGGGGGTCGCAAGACTCAAGCTAACTACGCGGAGAGTCCAAAGATATGAGACAATGATTGACACAACCAATGCTCCTGTTCACAGAGGGCTGTACAATATTATTACTTCAAGCCCAAGGCCGCCCCATCGACGTGCTCATCATGGAGGATGAGTGCCCAGACCGACTCTCACGAACACAGGAAAGTTTTACGTGGCATGCAGTGCGTGCCGTTATGTCTTAGCTCTTCATCATTCAACAGCGAACGGTCGACTCTCACGGGCTTGCGGGGATCACCCCGAGGTCGCTGTTCTGCCCTTAGTAGCGGCCACTCAACGTACGCCAAATAATCACAAGCTGAGTCGTTCGCCAACGCATCACTGTATCGCTAGGCGATTTCGACCCCTCGTTGGCTGCCACCACTGCAATTGCCATACAGGGATACAAGGGCATCTGATGTAGCGGGCACAGAGGTCGGCTCAGTGCGTGGCAACTGATGCGCACACCCCATGTTTTGACCGCGTATAAAGGTGCAATAGGCTGGGGTGCCTCTTGAAAAATCCCCCCAGATTGCTCGATGTCTGGCATTGACCTCTGAAGACGAAGCAGAGGGCAGCGAACGACGGACGACCCAGGAGCTGCGCCACTGCCGCATCCCGACTCCGAACAGCGCTCAGGGGTCAGCCACATCTACCTCGTTGCGACGTCCTTTTACCCAAAGGAGACATCGCAGACCCTATGTCTGTCGTCTATTGGACATACGTCCACCTCGCGGTTTCAGGCGAGGCGCTGTCCAGCCTCATGGCGGGAGGCATAAATACCCTCTGCACGCTCATTATGGCCGCATTCCCGGTCCTCGATTCTGCACTCTCTTCGTGCTTTCGAGGTCGACGCTCTCCTGCAGCTCCTCCTACATATTCGATGGATTCAAGATTGGCGGGCGTCCGTCTATAGCGATTAGTAACGATCTGCGCAGTCTTATTTTCGGCGGTTGGCTTCGGCGTGGCGTCGAGAACAAAACATGTGTTCTGGTATGCAGACACCAGCTGGGCGCTGTTGTTCGTTGGAGCCCATACCAAAACTGACCTACAGGTGAGCTGGTCGCTCTGCAACGATGCCTACGAAATGTTCGCTCAACAGAAAGATCATGGTTGCTACTCCTTGGTCGTCAAAATCGTCTCAATTTCCATCGATGTAGTCCGATAACGTGAACGCCCCCAAAACGAGGCCATTTATCCAAATATCAGGCTGTACTGTACAATACATCCTCTCGTCGACGTTCCTACATGCCTTCCTTATTCGATCAAATGCCCCCGCTATCTCTGATGCCTGTTGCGCCATCCCGCCTTCCGCCAGCGTAGAGAACCACCGGCCCCGCTACTTGGCGCACCGTTCTCTCGACTGGTTCTTCCCGGGTCCAGCAAGAGCTCCCCACGGCCTCTGACGTCGTCCCACCCGGCACTCCGGCGGCACGGCAACCGCCAGCCCTTGTGCCCGCGATGGCAGGACATTCGAATCAGCATTCCACGCCGCTGAACCCTCCACACCCACGCAACCATCTGGTGTCCCCCTGCGCTTCTGGACGTTCTGCGGCCGCACACGCCGCCTCTCGTAACGCACCGCCGAGACGCGGAGGGAGGCCTCTGCGGCACACACACCCACCCTTCTGGCCGCCCTTGTCCCTGTGTCAACTGATTCTCCCTGATGCCCTGATGCATGATGATGTGCGTGCGCGCCCGACGCCGAAAGGATGAGCTGCAGCCCTGCACGTTTCTTGTACATCCCCGTCGTCCGGCCTCGGAGATACCGTTGCATGCGCAATGTTTGGGGATCATGAAGACGTGTGGACGCGTGCGCAGTGCGGAAATGGGTGAGTGTGAGCCCTGCTCTGTCGCGTCGTCGTGTCCCCATCGATGAGGCCCCCCTGCTGACCGCACCAGCAGCACGCACCCCACCAGACTCGGTGATAGGTCTGCTAATCCACTCCACACGTGTCCTGCGCACGTGTGGAAGGGCGTGGGGGCTGGCACGCCGCGCATTCCTCTTCTGGCCGGCCCACGGCATCCAGCATCGTCCGGGCGACTAGCGGACCTCGAAAAAAGAGCGAAACAGAAGGAAGCTTGTCAAGTTGCGCGCGTCCGAGCTCTCGTTTCCGTGAAGTTTAATCCGACCTTCTTTATTCTGCGCGTGGGCGCGCACGCAAGAGATAGACGCCTTCTCGTGCGACGAGCGATGTACAAGAGGTATATGGTAAATAAACAAGAAGGAAGGCTCAGTTGCCAAAACAAAATAACGGGTAATCAAAAAAAAGTGGTGAGTAAATGTGTGCTAAATCGTCCGTGGCCGCCCATCTGTGCGACCGGCCAGACGGGCGGGGGAATATTAATACAACAGATATGGTGTGTGTGCAGGTAAGATAACAAGACCGCTCGCCGGCGATAGTAATACATACGGTGATACAAACAAGCTTTGAGCTATCCAGGTGAGTTTACGTCTCGCGCTGTGGGCCCGGCCAGGTGCGAGGGGGAGCGAGGCTAGAGGGGGGACATGAGGCAAAGAGGCGTTACGCCGCGCGAGTACCCGTGACGTCGGCAACTTCACATTGCGTACGTGGGGACAGGCGGCGGGTATGACGGTGCTAGCCCGTGGCCGGCCTCGAACGGCGCGAGGCCCTGGCCGCCGTAGCACGGGAAGCTCGGCTTGGCGCGCATGGCGGCGTACTCTTGCTGGATGTGCTCGAGGGGAAGCTGCTGGTACACCGACTGGCCGTAGACGGGGGCATGCGCGGCCGGGGCGAAGTAGCTGAAGTGCGACTCGAAGCTTGTCGGGGACGGTGCCGGTGCGGGGACGTACATGTTCGGAGCGACGTCGCTGGGTGTGGTGGGCATGCTGGACAGTGGCGACCACTGGTCGTAGTACGACTGCGGCGCCTGCTGGAACGGGATCTGCAGGGGGCCGAAGACGTTGTGCGAGTGCGGGGATGCACTGACAAGCGGGGAAGGCTCGGGGGAGAACATGTACGGGGCGTCGAAGTGGGTCTGGAGCGGGGACAGTGAAACAGAGAGCGGGTTGCAGTGCTGCATCTGCGGCGGTGGGGTTGTCGTTTCGAAAGAGAACGACGAAAAGTCCTGCGGGCAACTGGTGAGTGTCACGCCATCAAGGGTGGCACACGATGCACTCACAAATGATGGGTTTGCGTCAGTGATTGGCGTCGTAGGGTAAGGAGAGGACGGTGTGGTGGTGCAATACGAGTCTTCTGACTCTGACGCATCGAACTCGAACAGCGATTCCCTGGCTTCCTCCTTCGCGGGCGTCTCCCTGGACTTGCCCTTCGCAGACATTTCCGGCTGGCTGCTGGTGGCGCGCGCCTTCTTCTCGGAGGCCTCGTCGGATAAGGAAGGTGAGCTGGCATTCTCGGGAAGTGGGGCAGAGGAGGACCGCCTGAAACTGCCCGCTGTGATGGGGGCCTCGAAGCGGGTGACGATTTCCGGTACGTGATTGCGGTCAAACTCTGCAATGGCGTCTTCGAGGGCGGGGCCCTTGTAGCCCTGATTGAGCAGATCGGCGATCTTCTGGCAGCGGATGAGGTCCTTGGGGCCGACCTCGCGCACCTTGCGCTTGCCCACGCTCTTGCCCTTGTTGTGCAGCGGGCGGAAGGTGTAGCCGGGAAATTTGCGCTTGTGCTCCTCGAGGGCCTCCTTCGCCTTGCGGTGCCAGAACGCCTTCTCGTTCTTCGGAAGGCCCTTCCACGTGCACCCGATGATGGCCGAGAGCGTGCTGTGGTTGGTCTCGACGGTCGCGGAGACGTGCTGGTTGCGGATGAAGGCGGAGCGGAAGAGGATGAAGGAGTTGGGCGGGCGCGGGACGTGGTCCTCGGGCTTCTTTTTCGCGTGTCCCCCGCGGCCAGAACGCGTCGGGGCCGGGCTCTCTTCGCGGTCGAGGTCTGGGAAGAGGAGGGACTCTGCGGGCGCGGTGGGGTCTTCTGGCGCAGGCGGGTCGAAGAAGGTGCCGGGGGTGAGGGTGGGCGCGAACGCGAAGGTGCCGATGTCTTGCTCTTCCGAGGCTGCGCTCCTGCGTTTGCCTGTGAGGGGGACACATTTTGTGTGGCCGGTGAGTATGTGCGTCCGTGGCGCGTCGGCGAGGGGAGGGCGGACATACCTTTGGGCGAGGACGGCTGCTTGGAGGCGCGCGTGCGTTGAGGCGGCATGGCTTGGGGATCTGCAGGAGGCTGGAGAGACTTGCTGGGAGAGAGCAAGAATGATAGGGGAAGAAGGTGAGGGTGTCGCAGAAGAGGACATGGCGGGTTGATTACATACAAACTATATACGACCGCGAAATGCCTGTGGGAAACTGGCTGCAACCAATCCTGCCGGAAATGGCAGGACCCCCCAATATACCCGCGGTCTAGGGCGAGCGCATGTCCCATCAGTTTCCTGTCTCTGCACACATCGCCGATCCGGCAGCCCGCGCCCAGACCACCGGGTCCTCCTCGCCCAATCATCTCTACGCGCGAATATTCCCCCGCGCGAGCCAGGCCGCCTATTACGTCCTGCGTTCCGTCCCCGCACATCGCACCATCTGCTCGCTCGTCGTCCGGCGTGCACAGCGGGCCTCGTGCAGACGCAGAGCGAGCGCGACAGACATTGACCAAGCGGGCACGTAACAACTCCGCCCGCCGGCTAACCCCGCGCGCAATACATTCTCCTACACGCAGCAGACTCGGCCCACAAGGATTCCCCTTGGTGGACAAGCTCCCATCATCCCACCCGGAATATGCAGCGACGATGACGACCTATCCTCCCTGATGTCTGTCCCCATCCGTCTCCCCAACGGCAGCGTGTCGCCAGCATTCCGCCCGCTCGACATCTCGCCCCCGGCGCCTGTAGTCATGTGAGGGCGGAGATCAGAGGAACGGCGCATCAGATCTGATCTACGGTGTAGATCTTGATCGCCGATATTAATGATGGGATGCCCAACGGCCAGGGGCTGCGGCTAAATCTTTTCACGCTGGCTGCGACGCAGAGAGAGAGAAGAGATGCAGGCACTACGCTGCACATAGCCTCCGTCTTTCGCTCACGCTGTGCGTCCGATATGTCCTTGGTAACGGGGCAGCAAGGGGAAGGCCTTGTATTCGATCGCAGGGATCTACAATCTCACCGATAACACAAAGATGCTCCCGTGCAGGAGATCCCACCGCGCGCTGACGCGATCTCTCCACATTCTCTGACATGTCGCGCTAACGCTTGTTCTCCGTCTATGGGACAATGTCTCCTAATGTCTCGCTGCTACCGGTGCGTACGGACATGCATGCGAGCCGCCAGCCCGCCTCGCAGCGGAGCACGAAAAGCGGCCCGAAGCTTCAGCCCACATGGCGCGGGCCTGTGTTATCAGCCAGGCTCCAGCAGAAAGCAGGTTGTTCCCATACACAGTCAAGTTACCCCTCGTCGGTCTTCTGGCGCTGCAGGGGTGGAGATTTGGACTTCCATTTTTTTCTCGGTTCTCGCGCTCTCGATGAAGCAGTCGTTGTCCATCTAGTTCACCGTACACCAGGGTGTCTCCTCGCGACGATGACGGTCGATGCCACAGCTCGACGACCATCACCTGCCCAATGTCGCGCAGCTGGCCCCGCAGTTTTTCGGGGGGCCAGCGGAGTAAGGGCTGGCAAGCTTTCGGTGGGCACACAGCCTTGCGATCAGTCGACGGTTCATTCTGTCCCCGCGAACCTTGGCGCGGGACGGCGGGGCTGCGACCCCACACGGATGCCGGCCAGACGTTGCGGAACGGATCAACGAACGGCCGCTCCGACGTTCTCCCGAGAGAGAGAGAAGCCCCCACCGCCACTCTCTCCTCGCTTCTCGGCTCCTGCGAAAAATGCCCCTACATGCGCGCACCACCCTCCGCCTGCCAGCAGTCCCGGGGCTTCTGGGCAGCCCGTCTGCCGATAGAGCGCGTGGCGAAGCTTGGGCGTACTGCGGCTGACTTGACGCACCGCCTTGCCACGCATCGACGCGTTCATTTCCGGGGCGCAGCGCGGTCGAGACCGCACGTCGGGGAGAAGACACATTGTGGCGGCCTAACAGCCGCACCGACGCGAGCCTAGCCTCGCCGATATGAGGCTTTAGCACCCTCGGCACGTACGACTCACACCACGCTCTAAAAGCTGCACCTGACATGATGTGCTGCCCGCCAGCGACGTTCCGCCCTGTCGCACGGGCGCGATGACGTCCCCAGGCGAGGCCCTGTCGAACCCTGACATGTGCACCCCCGGGAGTGCAGCCACGGTGGCCCGGCGGCTGCCCCTGACCTAGCCCTCACCCGTCGACGCGACATCGGTCGGTGGCGCAGCCTGCGCGAGCAGAAAAACGTCAATAGCGCACAACACTCGCCTTTTGCGCATTAGCCCGCGCTGGCGGTGCCAGGCCGCCCGCTAGTCTGTGGGCGACCTCGACCTCCTTAGTGTTCGCGTTAGCGTGGTCGAAAGTGTAAGTGGCGGCACCCGGGCGCGATGGGGTCGCGCGACCCGGCGGGGACGGTGTGCGGTGAGGGGGCAGGTGCTGCTAGCGGCCAGGGCAGGTCGCGCAGAATGCAGAGACGGAGGACGAGCCGTGCAGCTGGTGCGACAGGCCGCGTGCAAGCGAGGATCCCGGGAGATGTCATGGATACTGCTTCTTTGTCCAATGAATCAGTTGTCATACCCCGTGGTTCACGAACGAGCCTTGTTATTTCATAGCAAAGGGGACCTACGACGAGCCGTGACAAATTCGACGGCGACAGGTACGGCCTAGTGATCCCACACCAAGATAAACTAGGACGAATTACGGTCGACCAAGAAGTGGGCGGGCGCGCTAGCACGCGCCAGGAAGGTTCGCACCAAAGTTTCGACATGTATGCTCGGCGGCGTCGGCCTGCGATCTCGACCCTCATTTCCGACGCCACAAAGTCCGCACCGACGATCATAGTTGCGACCGCCTTCGTCGCGGCGCATCCGACAGTCGCGGTCTCGCCCTCGTCCCACCATGCAATGCGTGACGTCCCCGCCGCGCCGCCCACCAAGTGCCCAGACTCGCAGTCAAAATGTCTGAGAAGGCTGTCTGAGCCTGGAGTATTCTAGATCCGAGGTGCCGGGGCGCATCCGAGGTGGGGGGTCGATCGATGTTGTAACCGGAGGCGAATAGGTGCGCGGACAGCCTTGTTGCCCTCGCTGGGCCTCGAACAGGTTCGCAATTGCGTGTTTCCTGCGGTACATCATTTGATGCGGTCTATACACCGCGAAAACAACAGCAGACCAGGGAGAATAGTCCACGCGATACAAGGAGAAAGGATGATCGATAATGGCCCGTTGTCCCCAATTTCGAGGGTTATACAAAGACGCACCGGTAGTGTGGCGCGGTGCTGTCTGGCCGTTCGAGACTAGCAATCAGATTCCGCTAAAGTAGCTATAGTGCCCTCGCCCCGATCACTTAGATTGTGATGGGCCCCTACATCGTGATGCACTTAGCGTGGCGTGGGTCAAGGCCAGTCATGCTAGATCTTGCGTGATCTTTTCGCCAACAAAGAAAAAAATTCACTGTATGCTCTCAAGTGATGGTTGTTCAAGCTCAGGGCACATCTAATTGGGACATGGCCAACTTCCGGACGGCGGTCAGCGCGCTACGCTCCCCTCATAGACGCCTGCCGGAGACGCCAGACGGCTTATAGTATCAGCCGACTCGGAGGCCCGAGAAAGATGGTTCTACAGTCGCACAGCGTACAATGGGCTGAATGAGAACGATAGATTGTGTATAATTAACGTGGAAAAAGCAGTCAGGTAGCGAAATGATTCCTGCATCTCTCAGGCTCAGATTTATCCACGTCTCCGTCTTAAACCAGAGACCTCATGAGAGACCGCGACAATGCTACTCCGCCCCGACGGCCAAGCTACGGCCGCATCCACCTCAGCACCCTCCTCCTCTTCGTGTTCGACGCAGCTGCCCAGTCGCGATATGCAGCATGCAGGTTGATCACGAACCCCTGCGCCTCGTAGCTCGTCGCGATGCCGCCGCCCGCGGCGATGTTCGTCGCGTTCGGCGGGAGCAGGAGCTCGACGGGGAAGTTGTGTCCGTTCACGACGGGCATGAGCGTCATGTCATCCGTGAAGTGCGCGAGGGGGAGCACGTTCGAGTGTAGGAGCACGTCGAGACGGTACGCGAAGGCGGCGAAGAGCGCCGAGGACGCCGCGTCGAGAAAAGTGCTCGCGTCGTCGGCGTAGTTGTGCAGCAAGGCCGGAGTCGCTGTCCTGAACAACATGTGTGAGGAGGAGCTGTGTCGTCGATCCAGGGGCAGCACTCACAAGATGGTCCCCTAGCGCGCTCTGGATCGCATATGCCCACTGTGCGAGATCTAGCTGTTCAGTTCACAGCTGAGAACTGTACTGCGAAGGCGCGAAGATGGCCAGGACACGGACAATCCCGCCGGCAGCCCAAGCGTTTCCTATGCAGATGTAGATGAGATCATTGTTCTACATGAGTTAGTGCATCACTTTACCTGTAGCCCAGTATCCTTCGTCGCATGAGTATCCAAGAACCATATGCCTCCACAAACCCGTCTCGCTGTCCCTGAGATAATCCCGGTATTGCTTAATTTGGTTGTACGCCTCGTACGCGATGCTGTAGTTGCCCGTCGCGACGCCATAATAGGCGAGGAACGGCGGGACCATGTACACAAAGTCGGACCAGAGCTGCAGCTGGTCGGGCCGGTGCGAGATCGCGCCGTCCGCGAGACGTTGTTGAAGAGCCAGCGGATCTGCGAGTCCGCCGCGTCTGCATAGAACAGCCCGTCCGCCTGGCCCTGGCCGGTCAGGTTTGCGAGGACGACCGCGAAGCCGGTGCTCGACGGGTCACCCGCGGCAGCGTTCGTGAGCAGCGGCGCGCGGTGACGTCTTGCGCGCTCGCGCTCGTGACGTTGTTCGCCGCCGTCCAGTCTTGCACGACCGACTTTGCAATCGCGAGCACTTCGTCGAGGCTGTCGGGGGGCGGAGACGAGAAGGACGAGAGTTCGACGCCTGGTGTCAAAGTCGACCAGCGTGGCGTGTCAAGTTCGAGCAGAGCCTCGGCGAAAGTGCCTATCTCCCACGACTGCAACGGAGGCTGAGCAGAGTCGAGACCGGATATAATGGTATTAATCTGAGAGTCACTGAGTATCTGACTGAGCCCAAGGGGGAGAATAAACGATGCAATAAATAGCGAAACGAGCGTGGCGCGCATTTTCTGCGAATAAAATAGATGGCAGAGTCGAAGTCGAATAGTTAGCAGGAGGGTGTGACGCTCCACAGCCTGAGGCTGGACAAAAAGACAGACAGGTAGGGTAAGTGAAACGCTGAGAACAGAGTATATAACCACGTACACACTATCAGGGTCATTTCACGCCTGGGGCTACTATGCAGGATTACGAGATGTCTGGCAATCATACTAGCAGAGATGGCACTGCTATACTTCCCAATCTATCAACTCTTGCGGCCCCGCCCAGCAATGACGAACTACAACGTACCGTTTCATCTGGTATTGATGTGCACAGAGTATCCTGTAATCAATCAGAACCTGTACATCACCCAGCCTTGAAGCATCGAATATTGAGTTTCGAGGATCCATCATGTTGGAGGATGACCGAGCTGACCTAAGATGCTTCTAGTGGGGTGGCTGCATCAGGTTTCTAGCAGGCTAATGATGGGATGGTAGCCGACAATGCACATGCGGTCCCGTACGAGTTCCAGCAGCGATATACTGCAATCTAGCAAGGGTCAATTATGCCACGAGTGATAAAGGCGTTGCACCGGGCAGCATCGTCTCTAGGCCCATCTGATGTGTACATTGTGATCCGCCGCTGGCGACTTGCTGACATGCCCTGTGACCGTATGCCGCCCGTTAAGGTGGGTCCGTGGAAATAAAAACAAGGGAAACTTGCCGCATTTGGACAGTAAAGATAGTGCTGCTGTCGACGGCGTGTCACCTGCCTAACGTGACATCGCATGTTTCGCAGGCGACGACGTCTCGAGGATAAAGCAACTTGGACCTATACTAGAGCTTAGCCTTGCGTAGCTGTTTGGCTAGTGTCAAGCTAGTGACATCAACTCTCGGACATAGGCATACGGAAGTCCTTATTTTCGCGTATTCTCCTCGGTTCCTGGCGCTCCGCCCATTACACGGCGGTCTGCAGACTTGAATCTGCCTTGCTTTGGATTAGTCCCCGCCTGCGCTGCAGCCGACATTTGCTTTGTTCATACATGAGCGTGCGACGCTCGTCGCTATACATTCCTGAGCATAACGCCGCTCGGCGGTGCTCGTCTTGAGGCTATGCACTTTCCAGCGAGCAGTAAGCTCGAGAAATCCAAGCTGACGGTAGCGCAGAGCAAGGCACCCACCGACAACGGAGAAGACGAGACTTCGATGACGGGGAATGCAGAAGACTCCCTGTTGCTTGGTGACGCGGCTTCGACTACTACTGACTGCTCAGTGCTCAGGCGCCCCCTTCAAGGTTCAGACAAGCGTCGTTCTGGATTACGTTGAATGCCGGCAGCGACAGAAAGTAGCTTCTCTGGAACCGCTGTAGTGCCGACTGCGAAGAGGAACCATGGCCCTGAAAAGTATAGAGCGGCAAAGATTGCTGATGCAGTACTCCAGCCGCTGAGTTAGTATGAGAACCGAAGTCATTGTATTATTCGGCGTGTGCAAAATGGCCGAGAGAAGAGTGGAGGTGCGTATAGGAAGTCTTCGTAACACCACCAGAACCGGAGAAGATAGCAGCATGGTAAGGTTTAAATGCACTGTTGTGAGCCTTGCCATGTGAACGATGGAGAACACTTGATGTCGCTTCATCAGAGGAAGTACATATTCTGTTTGCTGACGGGCTATTGCTCTGAGACAGAAGAGTGAGGCCAGCAGGGGAACCGACGGAGATGTAAATCAAAGCAAGACACATGTTGTCTCTGGCCACCGCCAGGCGTTCTGGACGAGCAGCGTGGGGCTGACATCCCCAAGGTGTCACCTGAAAACGCGCCCAGTTATCGAGAACAAGGGGGTACGGCCGTTCTAGCAAAGAGTACAGGTTGCAGAACGAGCATCTAGCAAATGGCGAGCGCGAGGGGGAGGGTGGGAGGTGGTAGCGGTCGAGGAACAAGCCGGGCTTGTGCACTCGTGGACAGGCCGACATCGCCCAGCCTCCACTGCCCACACGGCCAAATATGGCCAAATAGCTTCCTTGATCGGACTGCGTCGGCATCGCTCGATCACGCGCTTCCGCGCGCTGGCGGCGAGGGACAAGTGCTACAAAGTCGTGCTTGGGATCGTGCGGAGGCTTTTGTCCAAGTACTCGTCACGCACCCGATCGCGTCGATCATAGCATCGAGATACAACCTAAAAGGGCCTAGGAGGTGCAAGATGTCGAGGACAATAGATGTGAAATTCCCCTGGCAAGAGACACAGTATGTGGGCCAGTGTGGGTGCACGATCGTTGCTGTCGGAAGACAATGGAGGCAATGCAACTTGCGTACCTGATAGGTCGGTGGTTCTTAGCGTTGGAGCTGCATGAGCTCTCGCCGTGAGCTCCCGGAGAGATGCCGAGAGTAAGGGACAGCAATGGCTCTTGCAAGTTGGCAAAATACGAGTAAGTAGGATATTAATGCTGTACAATGCCCCAAGCGCATGCATAAATACGAACGAATCAGCCGGAAAAGGGTAAGACTCTCAAGATGACGTAGCGGCGACATCCGTGTGCTCTTCCTCACTCCCCTCCTTCTCCTCGGGATCCAGGTTCGGCCCATCCTCAATGCTCGAAGGGTGCTCAAGGGGTGGGGCAAGTGGCTGACCGAACTGAGGTTGCCGCGGTGGAGATACTGATGGGCGTCCGCCGGTGCGTGCCTGCCGAAGGGCTTTGGCCGCTGGATTGAAGTAGCCGCACTTCGGGCAAGTGTACTCTAACGAGCCGATGAATGAGTCAGAGCTCCGTGTGTCACAGCTGCGGGAGTAAGAAGAGAGTAGAAAGACGTAACACGCACGGGTTTCTTCCCAAGCACTCTCCTTGACGAGACCATTATGGGCGAAACACTTCTGGCATATTAGGGCATACCGGGAGGAGGCAGCAGTGATAGTGTCGTCGTCCCCCAAGATTGCGTCCGCAACCTTATCATACCAGTGCTTGCGTGGTGGAGGCATGGGCTGCTGAGCCATTGCTACAAGAAGAATTAAGAGGTTGACCATGGGAACAATAAGCTGAAAACATACGAGAAAGCTGCTGCTGGAGAGAAGGTGGTACTTGAGCTGGCGTTGGTGCGAGCCTTTGTGGCTGAGGTGCCGGCATCTTGCCTTGAGGAGTAACCGGCTGGCCACCGACAGGAACCCTTCGACGTAAAGGAGAGTCGAGAGCATCGTCATAGCGCTCGATCAAGTTCCGAGTGGTGTCATAGTTGGTCTTCTTCTTGATCTCTGCAATCTTCTCCTTCTGCTGCTTGCGGAGAGCAACGAGATGTTTCTCTAGGATGACGTAAGTCAAGTCGACGCCAAACATGCTGTACGCCACGAACCTTCCTTGTCTCCTATCTTTGTGTACCATATCTGAGCGATGCGGCGAATGAATAAGATTCTACGGTATTCAACAAAGCTCAGTATATGCCCAAGCATCATCAGTACGACACATACACAATAGGGCCTGCAAACACGGGTATTGCCTCCACCGACTTCTCAAATTTGGAGTAGCGCGCATGACTACTAAGCGTCGGAACGAGGTCGGTGTACCACAGGCTCAAGTAGGCAACCCATGAGGAAAGAGCATAGATGGAGAAAAGGAGCGTTGAGCGACGCTCTCGTAGACGGATCTCCGAGAGACGTTCTTGTCGTTTCTGGATGTCGAGTGCCAGCAAGGCTAGCACCTGTTCATAGTCTTCCCGCTGGCTCTGTGGTGGGCACGAATATAAGCAATTGGATGAAAAGCGGGAGGTGTCCGCGAGTGTACCTTACGAAACCAATTACCAAAGAGAACCATGTGCGATTAGATGTTGTTACAGGGGGATGCCTGAGCAGGCGTGGTGGTTGTCTGGAATAAAGTTGCGAAGGCCTCGCCAAGCAGATACGTCACGCGTGGCGTCACACTGCGTGACGTAACATCTATAACGAATGTTACCGAGTGTGACAGACGAAAATCCGTGGAAAGTGCGAAGTATTCCGACTCTTGTGCTCAGACTACGCGTACAGCCTGGATTCCTACTACAACCTCTGCTTGACGTCGCTTGGCCGACATTCTGTCTTTAACTGGGCCACAAGGTCTCAGCTATATCCCACGGACGGAGGCTTCGCATGCAACCGCACACAGCCTACAATACATACTGTCGTTTTGCCTCCAGGTCTTCTCATGCACATTTCCGCAGCTCGGCGCGTCTTCCGGCTCTTGCAGCTGCTCAGAATCTGGCAAGAGTCTCTCCAGGCTGCTAAGGTGGTCGTGGGCTATCAGGTTGGTCGCGGAGCGCGTCGTGGACGAAAAGTAATGTCAACTTTGAGCGGCAATCGCCCTGGGACGCTATATACGGCAGCTCGGACTTACTGCCTTTTCTCCCATCTTGCCTCAAGGCTTTGACCAGCACGTCGCCTCGAGGCCTCCCCTCATTTAAAGCACTCCTTTAAAATCGCTATCTCTTGCCTGATACCCTCGTCATCATTTCGCTTTCGCCGACCGCTAGCCCCACCCGCAAATGTCTGACGAGCCGCCGCCGTTGGTAGACCCCTACGCCGCGCGACACCCAAACTACAATGCAGGTTGGCCAGTTCACGGCACGCCGATGTTCGGCGCGGGCCAGTTCCCTGCGCCAGCGCATCCAGAGTGGGGCGGGTTCGGCACTCCTTGGGCAGCACCGAGCGCCGGGGTGCTCACGCCCATGTTTCCAATGACACAGCAGATGCCGCCTACAGGCTGGACCGGGGCGTCTCCCGCCGTCACCCAGGTGCCGATCCCGACCGGGACAGTCGCTCAGGGCAACGACGACTGGGTACATGTCCAGCCGGCTGCAGGAAACTGGGAGGACCCCAAGGACAGCTTCCCCAGCAGAGTCGCAGCAATGATGTCGTCACCCTCGCGGAGCCTATCGAGACGATCATCCTCGCGGCCTAGGTCCCCATTCTCGACGGACTCGAGCAGCCCGTCATCTCGAAGCAGCGATCTGACCCGCTCGCGTTCGTGGACGAGCTCCGTGAGCGAGAACGACAAGCGGCCGCCACGAGAATGGCGCTCTGACTTCTCGATGTCACGCTCACCGCGCATCGGCGCCGCAATAGGATCTCTCCTCCACCTATCACCTAGACCAAGGTCCGCGACACGGCGAGGTGCGCTACAATTAGCATAGGGCCGTGAGCTGTGTTGCTGACCCCTGCCCCAACTCTACAGGTTCACTAAGTTCATCAAAGGTCGCCCTAAATCCCTACATCCGCTACTCATCCTCACGCACAACCATGTTCCTCGACCTGCGAGAGTCACCTGAGCGCGTGCGGTTCCTCGAGCTACCGCGCGAAGTATGCGAATGGGACCTGATGCGCTACGCGTGCGAACCGCCACTGCCCGTCATGGTATTCTACAGCCCATACTTCCCGTGGTACGTCGAGGCGCGAACGCAGAATCCTGTCGGAGTGACGCTGTACGAGATGTTCATGGCCATCTGGCAGGCCATGATGACGCCGATCTCGCACGAAGACTACTACAACAACGAGATGGACCAGGAGGCACGTGAGGATATTGCGATTGCGTGGGCGCGCCGGTGTGGAAATAACCAGGAGGAGCGGAATAAGGGTATACGAAGGGTGGACTTTTTAATGGAGAGGGTTGGTCTCGAGGGCGTGACGAAGGGCAAGGATGGGTATTTTGAGTTGAAAGTCAAGAAGGTATGATGATTCGCACTGTTCGGTCTGCGGTGCTCGCGGGGGGTGATCATATATTATACCACAGGAATCTCGGAGTCATTGTATTTTTTGTGCTGTACATGTTCGTGCTTTTACACCTGTTGTATCACAAGTCATTGCTGTCGTTGTCATAGGTGCTCGAGATTGCCAGACGAACCGATTCTCGTTGGATGATTTGAGTGATCTGCCATCGTCGTCAATGCACTTCGCTCGCTTGACAGTCTAACCAAAGTGTCATCATCCCTTCAAGACGTGGTCAGCCGTTGGTCACACCTTAGTCTGAATTACAGCCTTTCCATCCGTTTCGCGCAGTCTATTGCTACACCTGAAGGGGGCGATCCAACCTTCCCACAGTGCTCAAAGAACGACGGCGTTGACTGACACTCTGAGCTCTCTCAGTCTTCGATCTCTGCAGCCCTTTCTGCTTCGTGGCGGCATTTCCTCTGGTCACGAAGCGTCAAAGCAACATGCGGACGTGCATGTACGGCGCCTCCAATCCGCTGCACGCGTTCGCCTGCCTCCACGCGTGTGCGTCGGCCACAGACAAAGCGACTGAATACCGCTTGGGCCAGTACAACATTAGGTGTGCCTTTGCCCAGCGCTCACCTTCGCTGACCGACAACGGACATCCCGCTCCCCCCGGAGTTGCTGAACCTTCGAGGATTGCATCGACAGATGCTCAAGATCATCTGCCATCGGGCCTCCCGTGGACTCTGCACGCGACAGCTTCGGCAGCGTGTTCGACCGCGAAAGCTTTCGTGTGCTAACTTTCGGAGACGGCAGAGCTAGACTCGGGTTAGAAGGTGATTTGATTGGTGTCTTCTCTTCGTCATGCATGACGGCAACGATGGAAGGGCGTCGAGGGTTGCGTTTCCTCCGTGTCGCTGTACTAGAGTCTGACCTGCGCATGAGGTTGTACAATCCGACATCTTCTTCCTCAGCCATTTACGTAGACTCGTGGCCAGTCTACTCGGTGGTTGGTGGGACGCGTACCGAGGGTATATGGGCTATCGGTACGTCGGAATGGCTACCGAGTATGATGGTCAGGTATCAAGCATACATTCATGGGTTGTGACTTGTGAGGGAAATACTGTCACGTGCCTCGATGTCGGCCAGGCTACGGTATTTTGCTCCATACTCGTAAATGCATGGAGATGAAAAAACTGCTACACCTCAGATCCACTGGGATAAACATAAACTATTATTCTACCAAGCGGTAAATTGTTGCCATTGTTGCTATAGGCACTATGAATATTTTGGTGAGAAGACTGCAGAAACAGCGCTTGGCATAGGCGCACGCAGTGCTCAAGCAGGGCGCTTAACTTTGACCGAGCCGCCGAGAGAGTACACAAGTCGCCATCCGGCCTTCCACAGTCGTTGCACAACGCAGATTAGGAATAAAACGCATGTGTTACATTAAATATAGGTAGGGGCGGGTTCTGGGTGTAGATAAATGTTGGGAAAGTTGCCTGTTCTGTTTCTATGGCACAAAGTTCTATGCAGGCATGAAAATAGCAGGTCAGCAGGCTAGTGGTAGGACGGGTTAGTCTGCCATCATCCTAGACATACCTTGGCCCGGGAAGTAGATCATCATGACAGCCTTTGGTGATGCCCAACCTAACGCTCGGAGATGGATACTTTCTATTGCAATAGGAATGTTTTCTTACATGTTATACTTGAGCAGCGTTCCTGATCCACGTCGTAACGTAGTGAACTTTGACCTAGACTACGGCCCCAAGATCACGAATGTCTATCCACCGCTCGATCTTACCGATGCTGAGACGGCAAACATGTCAGTTACCGTTTAACGTTCAGATCAAGAAGCTGATACTTATACAATGTTATTAGCGCATTTGCATCCTTCCCTGACTCCCCGCAGACTGTCTCAGGCTCATACATTCATTCGTTCAGGATACGTCTTCCTAAATCCATGGTTCATTCACACAACCTCAGAGAATACTCGTCGCAGGATGGTTTCATTTACGGATTCTCGCACTTCACTCAGAGACGAGATCCCACCTCTAAGCGAGGTTACCAGCAGGTCCGTTCTCATCCACTTTACTCTGAACTTCCACATACTCAACTAGCTGTATGTAGAGGTCACTTGTGATCCTCTCACAACATTCATATCCATCCCTATTTTACACGATTCTGTCTTACCTTGGAGAGTCCTTTCTCCAGCACGGCGGGCCGATGTTGGAAGTAGCCTGTCACAACATTGCAAATTGGTACAGTTTCCTTCCTCTACTCTATTCGTTCACTTACCTCTGGACGAAAAGGAAGGTCTGATCCACATTCAGGTGTAATCGGGGAACTCGGTTTCCTCGGTTATGTGTTCACGGTCGAGCTGCCCACCTCCCCGGACGCCCAGCAATCAAGTAATGCCGCTCGTGCTGTAGAGAAATATGACCCAAGCTCACATGTGGGTCATGTCTGCATTTCTTCTAAGCGTACGTCCTTAGCATTGAATAGATACTGGCGTCGCTGTCTCCTCAAGACCCTCCGATCATTGACGCCTTTGAGGCGAGCATCTCGCATGTATGGTCAATCTGGGAATGTCTGTTACTATGTGAACCGATACTGGTTTACGGACCTTCGGCAGCTGTGACTAGCCAAATTGTATGGTGGCTACGTGACCTGCTACGACCTGTGAGTCGACTGCCATATGTGTGTGTTAGAATTTAACACATGGCTCATGTCCTACGAGATACCGTTAGGTGGCGATTTCCGACCATTTTTCACTATCCACGACATCGATCATGCAAATTTGGTGAATTCAAGACAGCCTCAATCTGGGCTCTTGCTTGGTGTCACCAACCCATTTTTCGAGAAGATATGTAGTCATTGGCCGCATATACTCAGTCTTGGCTCACCTAGAAAGTGAGTGCCGTGCATCCCACCCTCTGGTTTACACTGAAATATCTGCTTCAGGAAGGGAAAATCACCGATGAGACGGTCTCTGGAAATTAGTGTAGGTCCAGCACCTGGCTGGACAACGAAAACACATAAGCGCTACATCTCGAAGGATCAGGCCTTGCTCAAGAAGTTGGAAGAAGCATTCCACGGGGACGAGCATGCCAGCGAGTAGCCTATTACTCTCATATGTCGCTTGGCTCACCCATTTCCAGAACTAGAAGCGTCTGAAGCTCTTCGGGAACATCTCATGTCGCGGACGACTGCTTTTTTGATGCCGCTCCAACGGTATCTCAACACTCTCATACCGACGTTCGCGGACAGGACAGCACCTTCAACACCGAACCTGTCGACGTCGAGCGTCGCCTCTACCACCCCGCGTTCTGCTGCGCCCAGCCATGTCAGGAATGCCTTCAGTCATCTGGCGGTCTCAGTGGCGCCTTCCACCCCGCCGCCCCTGCGGCTCAAGCCTTTCAGCGAAGCAGCCTTCCTTGCCTCGCTCAAAGCGAACGGTACCCCACTGCCTTACAAGAGTGCTGCAAAACGGAAGGATTTTTATGAGCGGTGGTTACGGACAAGATCGTTCGGATTATGGCTTGCTTCGCAGGAGGAAGTCGTAGACAGAGTTCTGGCGACCCCGTTCCCCAGCGGGGTCTCTGTTAGGAGTTCTACGGTGTCGTAATGAGAGTAGACCCGTAATCTTTCTCTACCGAGCTGCGATGTTGTACCACGTACTACGCCCGTACATGTTGCCTTATGAGTGTTTTTGGGCGACTTCTTACGGCTCATTGGCTGTGCACGAGCTATGTGACCTTAACCTAAGTACTACACGATATACGCCATCTAGGCGCCATACCGCCGCAGCGTCACGCGTGTCCGGGGTTCGGGAAGTCTGAAGCCATTCCATTTAGAGCCGCAAAGCGCGATCAACACTACCCTCGCTTTCTCTTCTTCATTTTCTTGTTGCTCATACCCAGGCAGGCAGCATGTCGGATCATCTGAATCAGGAAGAGGAGGACCTCCTCCAGGTGTGTCCCTATCTAGCCAATGTGAGGCCTCCAGCTGACACAGTCCGCATTCCAGTCGGCGTTGTCGGACGCATTCTCCCCCACAGAGGTAAAGCGTGTCTCAGCGCAGCTTCCAGAAAAGCAGGAGGAGGTAGCACCAGCTACAGAAGCCCCAGCCCCTGCTACGCCCGTTTCCGAGAGCACTGCTTCGGCCTCCACCCCCGCCGAGGAGGACTGGAAAGCAGAGTATGAGCATCACCTTGCCGAATGGCGCGCCCGCTCGGCGGAGCAGCGCGAGAAGGCGGAGGCGAACCGCACGCACTGGGAGAAGGTTCGCGAACAGGAGGAGAAGGAGGGCAAGGCTTGGGAGGAACGTGTCCTTGGCGAGCGTAGGCGGTCTCAGAGGCTTAGCGAGAGCATGGCAAGCACGAGTGGTTGGGAGAGCGTCAGGGCCGCGACAGAGGATCGGGCGAGTCCGAGCCCCGCAGACGCAAGGGACTTGACAACGGGCGAGGCGCAGGGACACAGGCATGCGGTAGGTGCATTGCCCTCCGCCGTGACAATATCTGACTTCCGCAGACCTCGTCGTCAAGCTCTCCGGCAGCAGGCCAGCAAAAAAGCCGCCCTGACTCCGAGCCAGAGTCGTCTAAGCACGAGAAATGGGAAGAGGTCCCTTCGGAACTGACCTCCTCATACCCATCTCTCACCTTCCCCTCGGATCCTCACTCTCCCACGTCTCCCCACCAACACCGAAACCTGCACGACGAACACGCGCGCGGACCCCACGATCACCACCACCACCACGAGTCTACGCGACATACCGTAACCTCGGCGATCTTTGACTCCAAGCTCTCGACGAAGACGCGTGTGCTGGCTCTCGCCTCCAGCATTGGCATCAACCTGCTGCTGCCCTTCGTCAACGGCGTCATGCTTGGCTTTGGAGAGATCTTCGCGAAGGAGGTCGTGTTTCGCTGGTTTGGATGGAAGCTGCCCGTGACGAACGTTGGTATTCGCGCTCGTACCGCGGCCTCTTCTCGCAAGTAACTTGCCTACTACTCTGCATGTGCATACATTAGAGGTGGAAATCACTGGGTATTACTGGGGGCTGTGTGGCGTTTTCTTGGATCTAGAGCCTGCTACAATCAATGTACGGGATGACAGCCATTGCTCGCGGACGCTGTTCAGTTTGAACTCGTACTATGCCCCGCAGCGTATACCGACATATGTCATACTATACGTTTTTAGATGTCTGACATGGAGAGGCAGCCTGTTATTATAGTCCTTGCCGCAAGTATACCTGCCTTGTTCCAGGTCTCCGTGCCAGAGACTGCACTGATGTTCAGTTCCAGGTGCGAAACGCTGCTCTCTCTAAACACCATTCAAATTGTCCTCGCTGGATACACGGGATGCCGGCTTCAGCCAGCCTTCCATAAGTTTATCGTTCCAGTCTCGTCCACAGGATGACCCATGTTACCTGTCTCCACTATATCCCCGGTACGCTTGAGATGCCAATGATATTTAACCATCTTACGGCGTGGTCAAGGCGCTCGATAATACTCCAAGATATGTGCAGGCCCAAACACCAGATGTATATATGCGCTTGAGTGCTTTACGACGCGTGAATACGCTTGCGAATCCACGCCGGGGTTCGCTCAGGCCGGTGAGCGTGTGAATTTTGATGAGAACTACGACGCCACAAGTTTTTTGCCTTATCGAGAAGAGAAGGAGGAGCACCCAACGGTAACTGCGTAACGTAGTCGTAACGTTGGTGGTCACGCTTCGATGGCCTGCGCTCATCCGCGTTGGATCGGTCGTCGTGCGGAGTCGCATCAAATCGCCGCTCGCTGCGACTATGAAGCAGAACATCTCCCTTTACAAGCGAAATTCGCCCTAGGACGTTAGCGGCAGAGGTGGCACCAGTGACGACACAGATGTCACAAAAACCCCGCTCTCAGAGTACATAAGGGCTGTCTCGCTCGCCGAGAGCCCTCAAGAATCTTTACCACGAACACCCACATACTCAACCTTTATTTCACGCATTACAATGGCTCAGTACGTCCAAGGCGACAAGGTCGAGTACCGTCCCATCGGTGGTGAGTGTTCACCACAGCATCTGATGCGACCAACAGCTAACGAGTCGATCTAGGCTCCTCTGACAACGTCGCCCACTCGACCGGCATCATCGAGAAGATCTGGCAGGCTGAGGATGGGGTGAGTAGCTCACGCCGCTCACGCCTTGACGTCGACTTATCACTTCCATTGCAGACCACCCGCTACACCATCAAGAACGAGAACACCGGCAAGACCACCGACTACCAGGTTTGTTTTTAAAATTGTTCTATGCCGGATTGGAGGTCCGATTGACCGCATCCGCAGGAGATGAATATTGTCGGCAAAGCCTAGAGAGCCTGACGAGATTCGGATGTACTTTGAATGTTGTAGAATAATCAGACAGTTCAGACACCATGACTCTCCACTTCCCTTTGAGAGGTTTTGTGTGAATAGTCCGCGTTGCGTCGATAGAAGGGTAGAGCTACTGAACAGAACAGTGGGCAGAACAACAAGACTTCGGACGTGCAGCACGGCAAAATATTGACTCCGTCCCTTCTGGTGCTCTCGTGCCGTGGCTTTTAAGCCCTGTCAACAAGTTTTCAAGTTCATAGCTGATATTGCTATAATGGCGTTAGGCACATTTACTGAGATGTTATATTTTCAGCTCGACCCCGTCTGTCGACTATACCTCGAGGCTGGGATGTACGGGAGCCGTGAGCCGGTGAAATACACGAAGTCTACCACCTCATGCAAGGCCGAGATAAGTAGTAGGTCAACCCAAAGATATCCTGTAGCGACTAAGGATGTATCCATGTTCCAGATGAGACCGGACACTCCGACTGATATCACTTCCAATTCAGCGATACACCGCTTCACATGGGGAATCACGAATTTACCAGTGACAAACATGGTCCCTAAATTGGGCCACCACCGTTGGTCTGCGTTTAAGAGATCAAGGCTGGTCTTGTTATGACATCACGGAGCGAAGTTCTACCATTGGCAGCAGAGCTGAGGTTCCGTCCAGGGTGCTAGTCGTGCATGGATGACATACGGCATTTTTCGATCATACAACAAGAGTAGGAAGTACATGAAAGCTTAAATCTAGAGAATTCGGTAAGCGACTGCTCGTCAGCTGGCAGATGGCGGGACACATACCTAGCAACAGCTCTATTTTCTCGAGCGAGATCGTGTATGAGTTAGCCACGCCATGAATCACGGTAGAGCTTACACTATGCTACAAACATACAGCATACACGGAAAAGCGCCCAGTCGCTACAAGTAGTCCGTGGAAGCATAGTCCATACCGAACCAGCCGGTCATAGGGTTATGAAGACATATTTCTGCGCAGTGTTCGAGTGATGTCTTTGACAATGCGTAATCCCGTTAGGGATTTGTTGGTATATTCGAGCGCATGATCCGTACGAGCCTCGATTTTGCGTGTAATGAGCCGCCGGAGGGCGCGAGCGTCGTCGTCTTCCTCGACCAATGTCGAGGAGAGCGAGAGTATCGACATGGATGTCAGGACATTGGGAGGCTTGGGGAAGACGAGCTGGCTGTCGCGTGGCGATGTAGGAATGGTGACCGGCGGGAACTCCAAAGATTCGGACGGATTCGACGCGGGTAGACTTGTGCACTGTGGGCCAAGCAGGCGCTTGGCATGGAGACATTGCACGCGTCGGTTCTGCCAGCAAATGTGTCAGGCACAAGAGAGGGTTGGTCAATGGGTGCGCTCACCTCTAGGCTCCTCGCAAGGAGCTGTCGAGCCTGAGCGATAGACCTGCCGGTGTGATCAGCATAATGCTCCGCAGTCTCGATATCTTCCTGGATGGAAGTGAGATCTCGGTTGGTCGCGCGGAGTACATTCAGAGCCGAGCTGACATCATCCCGTGCGGCACGCTGCTGGATACTCTGGGGTGGCGGATCGCGGTTATCTTCCTGGTGGGTGGGCAAGTCGCTGCTTGGAGATGAGTCTTCCACGTTCTCTGCTACAGTTGACGGCACAGCAACCTCTGACATGAGTCTCCTCTTGAACCAAGCCTTAACCCTGGACATTCCTGATGCAGCTGACTCGCGCGGTTCTCTAAGTAAGATGGAAGAGCGGTCGACAGTCTCAGCACTGGTTTGGCTGTGAGTCCTGCTGCGGGGTCGAGTGCCTTCCTTGGTCCAAGAAGCGAATAATTTGAGGAATCCCCTGTCTTCGGGTGCGATGTCAGATGTTCGTCCGAGATCGACCATGGACTTCGTCGGGCGAAGGACGTTCGCTGCAGGAGGGGTAGGAGGCGGAGATGTGGAAGCTGTGAACGACGTCTCGCAGAACGCTTCTGGTAGCGCGATACCGGAGTCCGAGAAGTCGTGGGGGTAAAGAGCTGATGCAGAGTCACTTGCCACCTTATTCGACGTTTCGCGGCTCGAGACGGCGGTCCAACCCGAGCTCTTGGAGTCCGTAGTGCGTCGTCGAGGAGAGCCTGGTGTGCCCCATCCGTTCTCCAAGGCAGCGGGGAGTCCGTCATTCTCAGCATTTGCTGTCTGCTCGAGTTCTTGAACCGATAGACGGGTAGCAGAGATTTTTTGACGGGCGGACTGCAGCTCCTCGCTTACATCGTTGAGCCGTGCCTGCATGTGGACCAGTAAGTCTTCACCCATGTCTTCCGTTTTTTGTAGAAGTTCCTCAATCTCGCTAACGTTTGGGTCTTCTGCTTGTAGACAGAGTTGGCGAGAGGTAATGAGGAGATTTTCAAGGATGCAGTGGGGGAAGAGTTGGATATTCAGGTCCGAGAGTGAGTCGTGCATGTCGACGTCAACGGGAACCTTGAAGACTCTACGACGCAAGACCTCTGTGCGGAACAAAGACTGAGACGAATCCAAAGAAGTGGTGGAAGGTTTGATGGTCCTGGCAGAAGCAGACGAAACGGATCGGTTTATTTTGGCGTTAATACCGAACGCGACCTTAAGATGTGGCTTCGCGACCTCCAGCACGGTAAATCTGATCGAGGCAGGTGTGAGATTAGCATGAGACAATGAGGGCGTCCAGAGCCTGAACTATCCACTCACCCTCTGAAGTTCCGTATCTCGCGTATCGAGTCCGTAACATCACAAGCCAAAAGAGTGGCCAGTACATCCGCACTATGACCGTGCTCGGCGGCAACATGAAGACAGGTGTCTCCCTTCGCATCTTGAGAAGCAAGGGGCGCACGAAGATCGAAGACGAGATGACGAACGAAGTCTCGAATCATATCGGGCGCTACGGGCTTCGCATGACGAGCAAGGCAGTGCAGCGGCGTACCTTCGCCGCTACGACTATGAAGGCTAACGTCGGCGCCGGCAAGGTATAGAGCATCGAGGATCTCCAGCGAAGGGTTAGATGTTGCCATACAATAGTGGACTGGACTTCGGCCTTGAGCATCGGGAAAGTTGACGAGTATTGGCGGCGGGTGGGACTGGCCTCGATTAGGTAAAGTAAGGGGAAGAAGACAAGCCGAAAGTTGTGGGAGATCGCTAGATTGGATAGCCGTGTTCAGAATGCCGACCATGTCCAGCAGGTCATCCTTTGAAGGCTTCAAGGCTAATCGTGGGTGACATTCAATCGGCATTGTCGTATTTGAAGTCGTGAAGCTTGACGTGGAGATTTTTGCCTGATCTCCCTGTCAATATCGTATTTTAGATCATGCTAGAGTACACTCACAGTGGACTCGGACATCCGGCGTCGGCGTACCGCGCTCTCACAGAGCCAGAGTACCTGAGGATGCTTCTGCGCGAATTGAATAGAAGATCTGTGGTTCAGATCGCGATAGTCTGGTCGTGCACCGAGTGAAAGCTGTGCGTATGTTCGCTCAATGAGTATTCAAACTAGGATAATATTAAGAAAACATACCAGATCGTGGGCAATCTGGATACGGCCATCCCGAGCGGCATCTAGAGTAACCAAATTCAGTGATTGTAAGTAGAATGTGGCGGGTTTGCGAATCATGCTTACACATGAGGGGCGTCGCCCCGGAAGAATCCATGCCATCAACGGTGACCAGACCAGGACATTCGCATAACAACATCCGTACGATCTCGGGAGAGTTCAGCCAGGCCGCGAGTCCCAGAGGCGTGATCCCACGCATAGCGTCTATAGGCGCGTTCAGCACAGACAAAGAAACATCGTCGTGGCGGAGTAGCGCTTTGAGAATCGTCAGGCGTTGGTCAAGCATAAAGGACTCGGCAGACGCATCTGCATCCTGCCATCTAAGTGCCACAAACCTCTTAGTCACATGATTTTACCTCAGGCTCAGTTGGCATTACATACCTTTCGCCAGCAATGGCGCAGCCGACGACGTTTCGCCCAGAGGGATCTTCTGCATTCACGTCTGCCCCAGCGTCGGCAGCTGCAAAAAATGCTGCAACATCCGCTTTAGCAGCGGCGTCAAGAAGAGATCTATGCAGCACCAAGCCGAGATCATCTTTAGCAGGCGAACTAACATAGGACAAAGCCCTCATGAAAGTAATACAACAAAGGCGAATGCGAAGGGTCGTGAGTCGAATGGGGACGAAGTGCGAAGAGTCGTGCCAGCGAGCGTAAGGCGGTAGTAAATAAGCTTCTGTCGAGCGGGAAGTAAGTATGTAATGCTACATGGGAAAGCGGCATGCCTTTATATAACGGCTATTCTCACCTCGATAGGGTTGCACACGAGGCATGGAGGATAATGCCCATCAGATTTACAGCGCTCCGCCGCAAGCGATGCCTTGGTCCAAAGTCGCGAGGCGCGGCCCCGAGCCATCCTGGCTGCGTTGGACAATAAATTTGGATGTATTATGCAGCATAACGAGACAACCAGAAGGCATGGTCGTCAAAGCAAAGCGAGAGGACAGTGGTGGGCGGGAACAAAAGTGTACAAACAAGAGTACACAATCAGCGCTCTGTACAGCCTCACTTTAGCCGCCTAATCCTAATCTTGTTTGACCCCGGCGCGCCTCGAGCCAGAAATCTCTCGTCAGACAATCACAGTCCTGCGCTTGTAAAAATGAGAATGCTCATACATATGGGCTACACAAAGCATGGAACGGACAGTGCGATATAAGAAGATAATTGTTCGATATGCGGATTAGAACTGAGGTGAAAGAATGCTGGATGCGGTGTGATTGGGTGGCTGCATTGGTAGTATGCGGAGCAGAATAAAACAACAATATACAAGCTGCCGTCCTGTTGGCTAGCTTCACAGAAAGAAGAAATGTGGTACAGATGGCATCAGAGGAAGGCATCTCGAGACAGGGTACCCTGGATTGGATAGGACATGTTTCAGTAATGCACGCGGTTAGCCAGCCACACGCTAATCTCACCTTGACTTGCTCGAAGTTTGTAATCGCTCGATCAAGATCCCAACCATTGCCCTCAAGGCACTGAACCGAGAACTCCACGTTAAGGCCCGTCCGTTGACATACTTGCAGAACAAGTGATCGTTGCGGCTCGGGCTGGGGAGCAGCGGCATTAGGCCCACCTCGCGCGACTGAGTAAAGGGAGCACTCACTATCCGTGACAGAGCATCTTGAACGTGTGGGGGTACCTGTGTAGGCAAAACTTGTGGTGCAGCCGTAGACGTAGACGTGGAAGGAGCTTCGCCCGCCTGCACCCGCAGAGGACCCGGGCGCCAGGCTTCGTGACTAGAGTACGCTCGTACAACCAGCATGTCTGACAGAATAACCACATCCCAACCTGCCAGCTTGGCACTGTATGAAGATAGCAGCGTTGAACGTCATCGCAGTATCAGGATGTGGGCTGGGTACGTACCGAGAGCCTTCTGGTGCCGGGGCAAGAATGAAAGAACGATCAAATGATCGGATACCTTCTGACGGTACTAGATACATCACATATAAGTCGTGTCACGGGTGTCATTTTGGGTGAAATCAGCGTACATTCGGTGAATTGGCCATGCAGAGTCATGAAGAGAGCGGTGCCACCAGCATGGCTGATAGGCCAAGCGTCTATGCAGAACTTCTCTGGCGAGCTGCTTACGTCGTGTTTGGTGCTCGGCAATTCCACCATGGCCTTGACGGCCTCCTCGCCACCGACATGAAGCGTCTTCACCAGTTTGTCGCCGCCTCCAGCCATACGGCTGAGATTGCGGGATCCACCTTTGCCCCCATTTAACCAGGGAGCCCATTCGAGCTTCCTCTGATTAGGCATCTCCTTTGAGTGGTGGAAGCCTTCTATCCGAGCGCGGGTGGGAATTGCAGTGTTGGCAGAAAACGAAAAGGTGGCGTTGGAATCGTATGCATCTATGAGCGCGGATCGTTGATTGTCGAACAACGGGAAGAAGCTGGAGAAGTGTTGAGTAGGACGTGCCTATGAGAAGCGAAATCTCACGTACCGCATAAGGAAGTTGCTAATGAGGGTACCATCGACTCCTGTGACGAACGACGGCATCATCTCACTCGGGAATGTCGTCGCCGCTGGTCGATTAACATGCACAGACGAAGTAGAGGCTTGTGGTATGTCGAAGGAAATCTTCACTATAGCTTCTTGATCGAGCATCTCCAGCGAAGGAAATCGGCGAGCGACCTCGCTGCGAAAAGATGAGCAACCGTCAGTATACGACATTTTCTTACCACACACCTCTTGTACTTTTCCGCTCGGTTGTTCTGATACTCTAGCTCCCGAATAGGATTGCCCTTGAGGATCAGCTCCCGAAGTTGTTCGAGCTTGCCCTTCTTGCCCGCAATGTAATCCAGGTCTTTCCACATTTTCAGTTGATTGCCTTCCAAAGAGAGATTGGCCAGGCGTGGAAGATAATGCGACAATGTAGACAGGAGAAGACCTGTCTGAATGCCATTATGGGCCAATGATATTGTTTGGACCTTCTCAACAGTCAGCGTGAAATCAAACGCCTGTCCGGCTACACACCTCAGGCTTAAGATCCTTTGCTAGTTTGAATATAACGGCCAACTCTCTTCCCGAGCCAGGTGCTCCTGGAGGAGTGAGCTGGTTCTTGAAGATAAATTCGTCTTCCCCCGTCCTCTACAAACGTGTGAGAAATCCCGACATGAGAGAATCGGAAAATACTGACCTCGAGGTTCAAAAAGCGTGCTTTGGCATCCCAGCGTCGCTTCACGAACTCTCTCCAAAGCTCGATGACTTGGGCGCCAGTGCGGTTGCCCCCATTCAAAGAAATAGCATTCCTGCGAACACGTCCCCCTGTCGAACCCTTCGAAGCACCTCGTATTGACAGACCATCGCCATTGGCATTTGCGGCAGCTATACGAGCATGGACCTTCGTGGAGGCGAAGAGGGTTGATTGGGGAACGACGAGAGAGGTGGGGGGACGAGCAAATCAAGTATGTGAGCCTACTGTACTTCAAATGGATCGTCAAGAGCACCGAAGGCGTAGGTGGCCCCTCCTGACGAACTAAACAGTGTGAGAGAACAAGCTGCTATTTACCATAGGACTGCGGCTCGTCGAACTCGATGGATCTCTGCCGAGGAGCACGTCGGCTCGACCTGGGCGTAGGGAACTTCGAACCTTGTGCTGAGATGTCTTCTGGTGACCTTTGCGCCCGCCAGGCTTATCAGTGGCGTCGCGCATGCGAGTATCCGAATCCATGAGGCCTGCTTTCCGTAGAGCGTTCGCTGCGATGGAACGGCTGCCCGCGGGTGGCGCAGGGGTCGATAACATAGGATTGCGACGGGCTCCGGAGGGGCGCGGATGCGAAGAAAGTACAAGAGATGAGTGGACTGCCGCTGGTGGGTCGTAAATCAGGCACTCGACGTGTTGAGCAGGTCAGGACAGGTTGTCGTGGTCGAGGTTGAAGTTACGGCACGAGCGTAGGGTGGCGGTAAAGGCAAGACTGTAGCGGAGCCGGCAAATTCGAAACTCATCGAGTCACGTCACCATGCCACGGTGGTTCCAGTCGTCACACTTCGTCGCGGCGGTGTTTGTTACATAGTCACGCCGGTCACGGGCTGTGGTGGCGGCGGTGACCACAGAGTACCAGACCTCGCAGAAAACTCTGAGAGCTCAAGTAGATATATCCAGGGACATGTTGGTTGCCTGTAAGCTGCTTTATGGGCATTTTCGTTCTTTGTTAGAGCAACATGGCGTCGCAGCTTGTTGACCAAAATAGGCGGTCTGGCGTGTGCCTAAGTTCTCACGGTATTTCTTGCGGGTTGCAGAACGCTCGAAAACGGCTGGAAATTCAACAACCTCCCTTTTCCTGCTTTTATTCTCTGGCTGGCTGTTTACCTGTAAATCTCTCCGAAAAATGGAGCAACAGTTCTATCAGCCCCTGTCGGCCGCGCTTCACACACCTCTCCAAGCGAACCACAATCCCCAGCCACATTACTCGTCATACGCTTCTCATGCCACGTCGTCGTCGATGGCCAACGGTGCACAGCACACTGCCCAACATAGTCGACATCGCGAAGAAGAAGAGGAAGAGGAAGATGATGAAGAGGCAGCTGAAGAGGACGTCGACCACAGGGATCAGCAATCCAGCGTAAACTCCCCCCGCGTTGCGGCTGTGCATCCTTCCAAATCCGCTGGGTGTGTTCATTTCACTGATGCGCCAGAGGAGACGATTGTGACGTTTTAACTTGTTCACGCTTGTAAGTCCCGCTCTATCTACCGGCGCGCCGCAGTACGCCGTCCAGGCACAAGCGAAAGCGCAAGACGAAGACACCACTCAGGACCAAAACGCGTTAGACGACAGCAAACGCAAACCCGGTCGTCCTCGAGGTTCACGGAACCGAAAACCAAGGGCTTCAACCAGCACGTCAGGCAAGGCGCCAGCAGGCTCGCAGCATCCAGGATTCTATCAGTATCCTCCTGCTCCAGGAGGCTCTGTGCCAAACCAGCATTTCTACGATTTCCAATGGCGCGCCCTGAATCTATGCACCGAGTTCTATCAGGCTGCTGAGGAGCTGATCGTGAGTGCCATAGTATCTCGTAAACCCATGAGTTCTCAACCAGCTTCCCACAGAAAAGCGCATCACCCATTGTCATCGCACAGTGTTATCATGCAGGACCCGCGACAAAAGTCGATCCTCTGGCATTGATTGCGGAAGCGAAGCGCGTTTGCGATACGCTCGTAAGAATTATAACAACTTCCTCTCGTGCCTGGTCTTGATCATTCGAATATTGCAGCTAGCAAACCCTAGTCAATTAGCTGGTCAACCACCACCTGCTGCACCTCCAGCTTACACCCCCATCACAACATTTGGAACTATGGCACCTCCCAGTGCAGCCTCCGTGAACGCGCCGCCAAGCGCGACGAGTGCCGTCAATGGCCCTCAGTCCTTCGTAATACCACTTGGGGCTACGGCCTTGGCTCCTCCTCCAGGATATCCACCTCAGCCGTACTATACCGCGACATATCCTCCGCCTGCGGGCTCGCGGTACCCAACTGCGCCGTATTATTACAACGCTGCTCAGCACCCGGGACCATATTATGCTCCTCCAGCAGCTCAGAGTACCCCAGCGCCTAGCGCTGCTGCTGCCATAATACCTTCCCCTCCGCCTCCGACAGGCGCCGCTGCTGCTGCCCCTTCTGCGGCCACTACACAGGCACAACCTCTCACAGAGTCATCAACTTCTGCCTCTGCAGTGCCCGCTCCTACTCTTGCACCCCAGCCGTCTACTTCCACTTCTACATCCACATCGGCGGCCCCTCCACCTCCCTCTCCAGCATCCGGATTGTCAGCGTTCAACGCCACCACGGGTAACGTTGCTCCGGGAGGAACTCAGGGCGCATGGACAGAGGAGGAGACTGAGAGACTGAGGAAGTTGTCGGAACAAAGTAAGGAGATAAATGGTAACGGTGATGTTGAATGGGACTGGGTCGTTCAGCAGTGGGGCAATACTCGAACGAGGTCGGTATTTCTGTGTTATATTCAAAGGTATTACTGCTAAGTTTCTCTTTAGACACCAGATTTTGCTCAAAGCCACCTCATTAGGCCTCAAAGAGAGTACTACCCGAGGCACGAAGAGGAGAAGAGAGCCAGATGCTACTCCTGATGCGAGCACTCGCCAGCTCCCACCCCCACAACATGCTCAGAGCCCTCTAAGTCAACCCGCCCACGTTCAAGCTTCTCATACCCAACAGCAGCGTCCGCAGCACCCCCAGACGACCCACGCACAGCAGACCAGCTACGTTCAACCAGCTACCGTCAATGTCCAAACTACATCGCCTGCACAGAGCTCCACAGCTTCGAACCCACCCTCCGCTCAAGCTTCGCCGGCGACTCAGCCCATTCGCCCGCCATCATCTTCGATACAACAGTCGATGAACCCTCAGCGCACAACAAGTCAGCCATCTGCGACCTATAGCCATGCTTGGCCGATGCCGACAATCGCTTCGAGCTCTTCACCCATCCTCACGCACACTCAGACACATACTCAAGCTGACTCATCACGTGCCAATTATTATCGTCCTCCGCAGCCGCCGTATGGCAGCACAGCGCAGTCGCCTACAACTCAGGCAGCTCGTCCTCCCTCGTCGCATAGCATGCAGCAGCAATCAACACACCAGTATATGTACCGACCGCTGCAGAATGGAGGCACGATTGGGCGGAGAGAGAACGGGATGTGAGGAGCTAGTCCGTGTTGAACTTTTGGCTGTAATCTCGAGGACCCATCTGTCTGTCTTCTAGCGCTGCTTTCTTATGTTGACGCTGCTGGCGATTCTTCACATATACCATCCTTCTTAATTCATGCAAATATCTTCTGCTGTAGTCTTATCATAGGATTCTCGTCTGAGCTTGTATCACTGGATTGTCTCCTTAGATTATTTACGCCCGCCTCCGGATGCTTTATTGCTCGAGTCCTGCACCTTGCCCGCACCCCGATTCGCACGGTCGGTTTGGTGCGGTTGCGCCTCTTCAAAGCTTCAAGCGCTCACAGGTGAACCAGTTCTGTTTCCGTACCCGAACTTGCGACTCAAGCTGTATGCCTAGTCTGTCGTATGTCGATACAAACGTATGCGAGCCCTGCATATCTTTTGTCATACGTTGCACGCGCTGATTTTGTCACCAGCGGATCGGCGCAAAATGGTGGGGTGGGCAGTGGGCAGAGCGGACCAGCGCAGCTGAGTGGGCTGCAACAACAACAACAGCAGTCCATTTCGCCACCGCCTGTTGTGAACCAATCTGCGAGTGAGACGACCACCCAAGTCCAAGTGCGTCAGCTTTCCGCTACTGCCTCTGCATGTGCCCAATATATACGCCTTTTGATTAATAGCAGCATAATCACCCGCATGACCCGTACGCGGCGGCATACCCGTCCTACTCGAACATAGTGCCTTATGGTACTCCGTACAACGCGGAGGTAAACACGCTGCCTCCATATTACCCACACGAAACCCCGCAACATGCACAACCGGTCGGGCTTCACGAAGCCCATGACAAACATCAAAGTATGCAGGACCAACGTCCACATCCACCAAACCCGGTTCCATCCCCAAGCCACCCACCAGTCTCTGGGCTCCCTCCGCCACGGAGCCAAGACACCACTCAAGTTGACACGACCTCGATTCCCGCGAGCGAGTCACAGCAACGCTCTCCGATTAGCCTTCAAGCCGCGAGTATAGGGTCCCCACATGACCTGCCACAACACAGGCCGTCGCCGCCCCAGCCCATGGCTGTTGACTCGCCCAGCGGATTGAAGCGCGTGTACGACGGCAACGGAGCTGCGAATGATGGGCAACACGCGAAGAGGGCTAGGCGGACGACAACTTCAGGGACAGGTGATAGTGAGCTGGAAGTCTTGAGAGACGAGAGCGAGGTGGGGCCGTCAGGAGGGCCGAAGCATTGGACAGATGAGGAGAAAGGAAAGTTGTTCCACTGGATGCTGGACGACGAGGAGAGGTGGGAGGCGTTCGGCACGAAGATGAACACTGTCTTTCGAGAGGCATGTATGACTTTTCACTTGCATCTCCATTGTCTGACACGAAACATTAGGGCTCGGCGCAACTCTTCCAGTCACGCAAGTCATTCACGGCGCTGAAATCTTGCTATCACCGTAATCTGGAGATATTCAAACAGATATACGTCTTCGAGGGCTTCCTCGCCCGTGCTCCTGTCACGGCCGTTAGCCCACCGGGGGCCTCTAATCCTGTACCATCTTCGTCCACCAACGAATCTCCAAACGCACACATAGATTACAACGAAATTGCCTCGTTGCCCATGCCTGCTGTTTTCGCGACCGCTACCGAGCGCCACAACTTCCTAGAGCGTAAACTAGAGACTGCCAAGGCCCTCAACGTCCCCGTGTCAAATCTGACCATGAAAGTCATCGATCATTGGTTTGACACAGGCTGGTTTACGCTGTTCAAGAAGCGCTTTCAGGAGGACCCGAAGACTGGTCTGCCGGTGCCGCGATATGCGACTGACCGAGATGATGCTGACGCCGATGCCGATGCGGAAGGAGAAGTGGTGGACGATGAGCAAGCTACTAGCGGCGGAGCCAACGCTACGGAAGCGCGACGTCGTCATCTGGATCCAAATAGCTGTCTCATTCCCCAACCCTTCCCCAATCCAGTGGCAATATCTCGCTCAGTGACCTCATTTCGTCTGCAGCGAGCATCGCCACCACCTATTACTCCCGTAGTAGCACCTGCTTCTGCGCAGCAGCTACACTTCTCCCAGGGCTCACCCCATCTTCCACACTCTGCGCAATCCTCGCCTCAACTACCTTATGGGTATCCAGCACATGGACCAATCCACCTTTACTCTCCACCGAACCTTGCGGCCGAGTACCAGATGCAGCAGCAACAGCTGGTCCATTTCCAGGTACAGACTGCCCAGACGCTCACGCACCTCACAAACCTCACGCAAACTCTCTTGGGCACCTGCAATACACTCGTGGAGCTCGTGAGGGCACAAGCGGACGACGTACGTGTGCAGACTGAGCTGCTTAGGCACAGAGAGGAGAGGGAAGAATTAGCTAATCGTGGGACTGATCGACTGAGTACGACCAGCTTCCACCCTGTCCAAAGTGAACCTAGCTCTTCTCGTGTTGGTCTCGGAGACCTGATAGGCAGGGACAATCGAGCTTCGCTTGCGACGGAAGTGCTCGCAAACCCACTTGTAGGGGACGAGGTGAAGCATGCCGCAGCTGAATACCTCAAGCGCATTTTTCAATAAGATGATTGTTGCTTCGTACCTTACAAATTTTTTCTTTGTGGAACTAGTTTACTGTATGCACCTATGTAATATGCAACGGCTACTCCGATCGCCACAATGAAGAGGCGCTTGAGCTCCGAGTCGGGAGCTGCCGTGCAGTGTTCTAGATCTTGTCTTGAACGTATCTATTCTTCATGATCACCTGGTGCTTCATCTCAGTATCCAGCCTTTCATATAGTTAATCCTAGGGAACAGGTACGCACTTTGAAACAAACCTGCAGTGGTTATCGTGGACTCAATAATGAACTAGTGTAGTTCCTTTGCTATCATCTAAATGGCTTTGATCATTCATTCCCACGTCGACATCCTAGACGCTATCTTTGACATACTTCGACGAGAAGAATACACCATGACGACTGCCGGAGTGTCAGCGGAACGTAGCGTGCGCTACAACGGCCCACGCGATCTCCGTTCCTGTGCCCTGGTCTCAAGAATCTGGAGGGACATCGTGCGGCGCCATGTTTTCTACGAACTCCACTTCGCTTTCAGTTACATCAATCTTGAATACTCTGCAGCTCGCGAAAATGGCGAAGATGGAACCAAGCTGCGAGGAATCACTTGTTGTTTGCACTCTGGACGCGGGAAAAACCTGTACGACCTCGACCGGTTCCTTATCGGCTCTCACATTGCGCAATACCTACGCATCCTGAGATTGGCGGCACATCCTCACAGCTCATCGCAGAACACATGCTCCTGTACTGGTGCTGATCGTACGCTGTTTCTCAGGCTTCTTAATCGCATGGCCCATCTAAAACACGTCGATCTCGCCTATGTCTTGATAAACCCTATGCAGATCGCTCCATCACCTGCCCCGCCGATTCCCCACCCCTCGTTGGACAGCCTGTCGCTGGATCTCTCCTACACATACTATAGAAGTGAGGACCGCGTTGTGGATATCCTGCGCTGCTTCGAGAAAATCAAAAATCTCGATGTTATCGAAGCATTGATAGCTGCGAAGGTCACTCACGTGCGATGGAGGAAGATTCCCGACATGCGCCTACGATGACGAACCTCTGTGTCGATATTGAAAGAGCGAGATTTTTCCTCTGTCATCTGTCGCGTGGCACCATTTTGAGGTTCTTCCAAACAAACGTTCGTGGACTAGCTTCGCTGGACGTCTTTTCAGTGGGTGAGCTCCCTGCCGCAACTGCCCTGCAAGATCTCGTCGTCAATTGTGGGCGCGCTCTCGTGCACATTGGATACGGCATAAATTGCCATCCATTCCAGAATGACGAAGAAGGTGAGCGTTCAGAGCTTCTCTATATGAATAGTTCGGTATCTGAGTGCTGTGTTCGTCGATAGAACTCCCCGCTATGGATTTGTCTCCCTGTACCTCCCTGCAGTCCCTGACCGTAATGCTGCCAGTGGTGCATTGTCACGAGGATCAGTTCTGGAAAGGCCTGTCGTCCACTTTCTCCGGTCTTCTGAAGAGACCACTGGGTTGCACATCCCTGACCCAGATCATCTTTGAGCTGAACTCAGATGCGTCTTACAAGATAGAAGAGGCTGGGTTCCGCCACGGTAACCCTTGGCTCATTCCTGTTGAGAGTGCACTCATGGAACTGCGGTCAAGAGCACGATCTCTGACTGCTGTCGTAGTGAAAGCTGAGGAAACTGAGATGTTCAAGCTGGACTCAGAGGCATGTAGTCGGGTCGAGGCACTCCTGCCGCGACTGCACGAATGTGATGTTTTGCAAGTGATGACAGCATAGCTACATGGATCTTTAAAGCTCTGATTTCAGGGTAATCGTATGTATAATGAGTTGTTGAATACACGCTGCGTGGGATCTGGCCGTGGCGTCATCGGTCGAGCGTCTAATAACACCCCCTCATGGTACAGGCGTGCGCCGCCGTGAAGCCTTCTCCGTCGCGTCGTTCGACGTGTCCGACATTGCCATCAGCATATCTCACGATCTCTTACCACTAACACCAGCTGCCTGCTCCAGATGGCGCCCTTCTACAGTCCGCAGGCGGTAATCTCTGGTTTCAAGGAGCGCATAGAGGCTACGACCATGCAAGGCACATGTTATGTCTCTCTTCGCGAGTATCTGGCTCACCGAACGTGCCTGCAGATGGAAAGCTTTACCTGGGAACCTCAGTCGGCAGTGTCTGTGTGTACAATATTAACACCGAACACGGTACGTGGTCCCTTAACATGTTGTGCATGTGAGAACACTGCTTATCCCCGCAACAGACGATGGGCAACATGAGGCTGGGCTCGACGTGAAGAAGGGCATCAGCAGGAAACCAATTGAACAGATGGTTTACGTTCCAGATGTAGCCTCCCTTGCCGTTCTGTCCGGTACGTAGCGACTCTGTCATTCGTTGCCTTCACCAACGCAATTATAGATGCCATTGTCACCCTCTACCCCGTACCAAGTTTCGCACCACCAACACTACTTCCCAAGACCAAGACTGCATTCTCACTTGCACTCTACCGTACGGTTGACAGTATCGACGCCCCTCGAGCCGCGAGTCCAACATCCGCAAAGGCTCCCAATGTCTCAGCTGCAGTGACCTATTTGGCTGTAGGATGTCGCAGAAAGCTCGTTATTTATTCTTGGAAGGACGGTGAAGCACAAGACGTCTTGGTACGCTTCCAGCTTTGTGTCATCTTCCAGCGCCTGAGATTCGTCAGGAAACCACTCTCCCTCACTCACCGAGGACAATGGTATTCATGAACGGCGATCAGATTTGTCTCGGCTATTCGCCGACGGAATACGTGCTTTATTCTCTGAAGTTGCGCTCTACGACAGAGATAGCCACTCCAGGACATGCACCAACTGCCTCATCAAGTATAGGTGGAATGGGTATGGGTGCCCTGACCGGACTGGGTGGGTATATTGGTTTAGGAGCTAAGGCGAAGCCTTCCGCGCTTAGAATGAGCGACAAAGAATGCCTTGTCGCAAAGGAGAGTAAGTGGATTTCGTCTTGTCAATACTTACAACATACTCAGCCCCAGCAGATAACGGTGTATTCGTTGGGAAAGACGGCTTACCATCTAGAACGTTCGCAGTTGACTGGCCGGCTCCTCCAGAAGATATCGGTGAGCCAAGGCCACTCTTTTGAGCACTGTAGCCTCGTTAATGTGGGGAAAGCTTTTGTGCAGCCGTATATTTTCACTGCATTGCCTCCAGGCTCTGTTCCAGTCTCGCAGATCGAAGGCGGTTCTACCGTAGCCGGCGCATCCAATTTTATGCCCTCCTCGGTTATCGAGATACGATCGTCCATTTCGCTACAGCCTTCGCAGACGTTACCACTGCCTTTCGCTCCGCCGCCATCCACGATAGCCGGCGCAGCACCACCAGTGCATACAGCTCGGCTATTGACAACGTCACCGTCACCTAAGTCACCTCTCTTCCTGGTCACCACCCCCACAGACCGTGCTACTGTCGCCTCAATGGGAAGCACTGTTTGGTCTTTTCATATGAAGCCTTGGGAGGAGCAGGTTGACGAGCTGGCGGAAGCTGGATCATATGCCGACGCTCTAGCGTTTTTGGATAGCATAGATCGAATACTGCTACCCGACAAGGTTCGCACCTTAAGCTAACACGAGGATTTAAGCTAAATTCAGGGCACCAGGATGCGAGGATACGTGTGGTGCGCGGATTGAATGCTGTCGCTCAATTTCGCGCGGGGCAATACGCCGATGCCATGAACACTTTCCTTGAACTCAAAATCAACCCCGCTAAGGTGATAGCGCTTTATCCTGAATCCATATCCGGCAGGCTGGCCGTACCGGAGGACGGGTGGATCGAGCTCTTTGGTGGTCCTGTCAAGCCTCAGTCGAAGCCAGAGGCAGTACCGACAACCGAAGAAGAAGGCAAAGAACCCGGCACCGAGACGACACCGGCGGATACGACTGCTGCGGCACTACCGAGACCACCTTCGCCTCAAGGCTCCGTGCGGGGACTTCTCAGGAGTGGTCTGGAGTCGTTGCGACCTGGATTTAGGAGAGATGATGAGCTAGAAACGGCCTCGGCCAAAGCCAAGAAGCAGGATTGTAAGCTTGCCGTTTCTTTCCGTCATCATAGACTGAAGATCTATAGTCCAATTCCGCAAGTCTATCGAGGAGCTTATGCGCTACCTCTCCGATCATCGTCCCAAGGTCGCCGGCGCTCTCGAGGTTTTACACATCACGACCGCTCAGGCTCACCAAATGCCCTACCTCTCCGCGACGTCGAAGGAAGATCTTTTCGCTCTGCCGGACACGCCCCTGCCGTCTTTGACACCGGAGCAACTTGTGCGGTTTGCACAGATCGTAGACACTGCGCTCTTCAAGTGTTATCTTCTGGTGCGCCCAGGACTGCTCGCCTCGCTTTGTAGAGTCGGGAATTGGTGTGAGGTGTCGGAGGTGGAGCAAGTCCTCATGGAACGTGAGGTTCGTCGTCTCTTTATAAGGAGGTTCAATACACCTGATACACCTGTCAGAGATTCTCAGAGCTCATTTACCTGTACAACGGCAAGAAGATGCATGGGAAGGCGCTCGATCTTCTCAAGCGGTGAGCCTCACAAGGTGTGATGACTACTGAGGGAACTTACCGCTTGTCAGACTGAGCGAGAAGGAGACGGACATGAGAGATAAGCTCATGCCCTTAGTCAACTATCTGCAGAGGCTCGGACCCGAGCACTTAGATATGATCTTCGAGCATTCTCGCTGGGTATTTGAACATGATGTCGACATTGGATTCGAGGTAATTTTCTTCTGTGCGGATGTGAAGTAAGGTGCTGACCCAAGTGCACGGCAGATCTTCACGTCAGAAGAGGTAGAGCTGCCACGCCAACTTGTGGCTGATTTCCTGGAGTCTATTGATCCTGCTATATGCGCCCGATTCTTGGAGCATCTCATCGACGAGAAGGGGGATGAGTCGGCATTTTTTCACAATCGCTTGGCTGAGCTGTACTTGAAAATGACCATCGCTGCTAAGAAAAGAGGCAACAACGGTGCGTTTGTCTTGTGCAATTTTCGTGAAGACAACAGCGCTAACATTTAGAGTAGGGGAGAGGCAAGCGATCAAGGCGAAGTTCCTAAACTTTATCGACACCACCAATCATTATGAGACTGATCGTCTATTTGGTCTGCTACCTTCTGAAGGTAATTCACATATCAAGGCCTCGTCATTCCGTGGCTAAAGTTTTCGCAGACCTGTTTGAAGCAAAGGCAATCCTCCTGGGAAGACTGGGCCGCCATGATGCGGCCCTTGAGATTTATGTCTATCGCCTGCAAGACTTCTTGAAAGCCGAGGAGTATGTTTCTGTGACCGCGCTGTAAACTATATTTACTTACCGAACTATAGGTATTGCAAACGGGTATACAAACCAGGAACGCCCACTGGGAAGATCTTCCTCACTCTCCTCCGTATATATCTCCAGCCTACTGTCAAGACGAATATTGATCTCCTCACACCCGCCCTCGACCTCATTGCGCGACACAGTCCCCGATTGGACGAAGTTGAAACTCTCCAGATACTTCCCCCGCTTGTCCCTGCGCAGGATGTCCAGCGTTTCCTCATTGAAGCGTTGCGTGCCCCCATATTCGACACGAGGGTTGTGAGAGAAGTGAACAAGGCGAGGGACGAGCAAGTGGCAAGGCGGCTCATGTACCTGCAGAGCAAGCGGGTGAAGGTGACCGATAGCCGCATGCAAGTGTCTAGCGTGATATGATTGGATACATCGCACTGACTGTCTCCCACAGATGTCCTGAGTGTCACAAGCGTATCGGCCATAGTGTGATTGCAGTTCACGCACCACAGTGAGTCCCATTAGCTGCTACTTGCAAAACGTTTTGCTAACGATCCCGCAGTGGCGAGGTAACACATTATCAGTGTAGGGACGCTTTCGCACGCAAACTGAGGACGGTGAGAACATGAGACAATGTTTTTAATATTCCCAGCAGCTGCTGTATTACATGCAATGATACCCTACAATGAATTGTATACCAAACGCGGCTCTATGTACCGCTCTACTATTCTTGGATGATTGAGTGTATACACTAGATCTATTATAAGCTCTACTCATCCATGGACAGGTTGTTCAACAAGTGGAGCGCCTCGGGCCCGCGCGGCGTGAACTTGACCTGGAAGGGGAGCGGGTAGCTACAAACGCGAGGCCATGAGTTACAGGAAAGTCAGGCTAGCCCATACACTTACCTGAGCAGACCGGTCGTGTACTTGCCACCGGGCTCGACGGGGTTGCCATTCTGGTCCAGGGGCTTCTCAATGTTGAACAATTGGAGCATGTAACCCATCGCGATCCACAGTGAGTCCATGGCGAGGTAGCGTCCGGGGCACTTCCTGCGGCCGAAACCGAAAGCGGCGAGCTCGGGCTCCATAACGTCCTTCCTGATCTCCTTGCCGTCGGCAGTGAGGAAGCGGGTCGGGTCGAACTTCTCGGGGTTGGGGAAGATCTTCTCGTCGTGAAGGATGGCCCTGGGTGTCGGATGAGAAGCGGCGCGACAATAGGATGTTAGTTGTGAGACGCACCAGACGTTACCCATGACAATGGCGCCTCCGGGGATGTGGTAGCCCCTGTACTCGTCGTCTTCCATCACCTTGTGAGATGCAGCTTTGGGGAAGTTGTCAGTTATGATTGCCTACACCCCTCAATCAGAGGACATACCCAAGGGTGTGACGGGGCGCCACCTCAAGACCTCCTTCATGAGGGCAGCGAAGTAAGGAAGGGAGGCCTGGTCGTCGTAAGTCACGAGCCTGTCGTAGCCAACGACACGGTCAAGTTCAGATTGCGCCTTCTTCGCAACCTCAGGGTTTTGAAGCATCGCGAGAATGAACGTGCCCATAGCGGAGACAGTCTATATGCAAACTCAGCATTGCTCATCTTCCTTGAGCGACCTGGAGAAGCGTACCGTGTCCGCACCACCAGTGTAAGCAGTACCAGCGGTGTTCTGAATAACAACCTCCCGCTCGGTATTATCCTTGCTGTCATCGAGACCGCTAAGCAGACTCGACACAACGGAGGACTTAGCCTTGCCGGCAGCCTACGGGTTCGCGCATGGCATTAGCATAACATGATCCGCGAATCAGCTAGCCTTCTGCGCTTACCAGCTGCTTCTTGACATCATCGAACGGCACTTTGCTCATAGTCTCCACTGCGGGCCGCCATTCCTTTGCCTCGCTCAGGAACTTAGCTCCGGGGAACCATGGGGGAAGGTGCTGCACTGTAAAGGGCGATGAATGCCATAAGTTAAAAGTGGACGATACACTCGTGTGCTGAAGAACGTACATTGCGGGAGCCAGTCAACTAGAGAGCCACTGGTTAAGATCTTGCTATATAGAGCTCGAAAGGCGACGTACCAAGGTAGGTACCGGCGACGCCGGTCATCGCCATAGAGAAAATAGCCTTCTCTGCGAGCAAGACGTTGGGGTCATTCTCCTGCTGGACATCGAGACCGTAGGTGACTCCGATGATGATGGCACCGGTCAAGCTGTCGCGAATATCAGTACTCGGCCTGTGTAGACCTAACACGGCACCACTTACTGGCGAACATGTCTCAGCCAGTCGTCTGCACCGGTGTGTTGAAGGCGGCCGATGAACTTGCGAGTCTCAAGCGCGAGCTTCGAGCGGTATTTTGGAACGACGGAGGGCTGAAAGTGTTGGTGGAACATGCGGCGGTGCTCCTTCCAAGTGTCACCATACGGCATGAATGCCAGGTTCCAAGTCCATCCGACGCTACACGAAAGTCAGTCAGACGCTTGAGAAATGACGCGATGGAACACTGACAGCTTGTGGAACATGGTCTGCTGCTCTCGGTCTGAGTAGATGTTCGAGCGCTTTTCGAAGAGATCGTTGACTGCCTGCATGGAGTTGAGGATGATCATGGGCTTGCCGAACATGTGGATGTGGAGGATGTCGCTGCCTGTCCACCCTCGTCAGTATCTAACCCCATACCCAAATATTACTGGGACCAACCATATTGCTTCCCCCACTTCTCGTAATTCAACCACTGATAGCCTTTGGCATTCTCAAAGGCCATGCCAGCTATCGGAAGGCCGCTAGGGCCTGGCGGAAGGTTGGAGCGTTTGCGCTGTGTTACGCCATAAGCAGCTATAGCGAGGGATACCACGAAGAGAAGAGCGAGAAATCCGTCACTCAACGCCATGGTTGAGAAGACCTGGGGAAGTAAGTAAGATTTAGCGACAGAACACAGCAGAGAAAGTCCTATATATCAGTGAACGACGACGCTCCAGGCTACGTCTGCGAATGGGATACCCGCACTTACAGAACCACGTATGCCCCTTGCTGTACCTACTCAACTCCTTGACAGCGGGCTAGCAAGAGTAATTTCCAACGGCGGGAGCATCGCATTGTGCCTAAAATATCCTGCGAATACCCTGGGTTTTCGTTCACATTTACTGTGTAACGTTGGCCAGCCAAACCCATGCGTGGTGCGTGGCCGAACGTTGACATCCTCGAGGCCAATTTACGATAATACTCAGCCGTGGGATGGCCTGACTGCTCATACACATCTCTTGATGTCTTCACTCGTAGGGGGCGAAACGGGGACCGCCGTCCACGCAGGTCCGACACAGCAGCAACCCTTAGTTTGCCAGCATAGGCGGGGATCGCGTATGTTGTGACGTATCCGGTAATTATGCGGCAGACCTGTATTGGGCTTGCAGAAAGACTCAGAGCTGAGGAATGTTTCACATGGAGAGTATGTCTTACAGCACATCGAGCTTTTCCAAGCTCCGTTTAACTCTGGCTTGAGTAGCCGCGACAATGGAATTCAAACGCGTCGCTGGAAGACCTCCCAAAGCGCCGGCATCGTCAAGGGCGCCTAGCTGCACGCGGACAAACCGCGGTTTTCGAGTCTTTGTCGCTGCAGACAGCTGCTACCACCGCCGCTTTGTTGTCTTTGGTTCTTGGTCGCGTCATACCGCGAGCTGGTCGCATACCGAGCACGATTGTGTCGCGCACAGATATGTGATCTGCTCATGGTACTCTTGGCTGCACCACTGCTGCACGGAGTTCGAGAGGCGCCCCGCTCAGTCAGCTCCAGCCTGTGTCTCCACCGCGGTTTGTCTCGTTCTTCTCTGCTTCCACTATCACCAGAACTTGACCTTGCTACTCTCTCAACCATCTAGCTCGGATTTGCATGACACATTCTCCACTGCGCTGCTGGACGCATCGACGATCAGAGGAGCGAGTGTGCATGCATGGTCTTTCATTCACTCGCTAGGACACCAATTACACTTGTTGAAAACATGGCCAACGTAACAAAAGTCTCTATCTCCTCCCTCCCACTCCCTTCACGCTCTCATACCCTCACGAAAAACTTGACGCCCGATCCCCTCGCACCTACACCCGCCCTGTTCCGCAATGTCCAGCTCGAGAAACCAAGTCTCCAGCGTAGGGCACGCCTACTCGACGCCGACGCTCATTTCAGCTTTGTAGCACCGTTCCCCTCATCGTTTCCATACAAGATTTCGCCTCCTGAGGGGAAGAACCTGTCGACCAAACGGCGCTGGTCGAGAAATGGCTGGCTGGGAGAGAACCTGTGGAGGAGCGCTCCAAGGAAGAAGCCGCTAAGGACACTCCTCTTCGGAAATATTATCCTGACCCGTCAGCTGTGGGTGACAGACCCGTGCAACTGATAAGTTTATCAGAGACTGGACTACGGGACTGTCTCCCTCGGCTAGACGTAGGAGACGCGTTCGCACTCCTGGGCACGCCAAGTCTGTTGCCGCCAAACCAAGAAGAAGTAGCCCAGACGGATCAGGAAAACGCCGCACGTCAAGAGCTTGTTGAAGTGCTCAGCGGATCTGTGATGCTGGCGAACTACGACATCGACCCGGACAAGGGCTGGGCTCCGTGGTCACTGCGTTACAGCGGTCATCAGTTCGGCGTGTGGGCAGGCCAGTTGGGCGATGGGAGGGCTATCTCTCTGCGTATGTGTGCTCCTCCGAGCAGCTTGTCCAAAAGTGGCGCTGATCTGAATTATATAGTGGCAACGCCGCATCCCGCCGCTGCAGAGCTCACATATGAGATTCAGCTCAAAGGCGCAGGACGCACTCCCTTCTCGAGGAGTGCCGATGGACTGGCTGTGGTCCGCTCCTCAGTTCGGGAGTTTCTGTGCGCGGAAGGTGTGTGTTCCACGCTCGATGGCGATGTTAGGGAGATTCTGACTATCAGCCAGCCATGCATGCCCTGGGCATACCTACCACCCGCTCACTCAGCATCATTGCACTTCCATCCATCCCTGTCATTCGTGAGCGTATAGAATCTGCATGCGTTGTCAGCCGCCTCGCGCCATCCTTCATTCGCATTGGCAACTTTGAAGCCCTAAACCCACCTGAACACATATCCTTCTTGGGTGGTGGCCAGCAAGGTGCTAGTTATGAAGCCCTACGCAAGTTGGGCGAATGGGTTGGGGAACGGGTGCTCAGGTTGCCGATCAATTGGGAAGCCGGTGAAGCTTGGGTAAAAGAGCTCGTTATGGAGTCTGCCCGGAGGAATGCCAAGATGGTTGCGGGATGGCAGGCGTACGGGTTCATGCACGGTGTTATCAATACCGACAAGTGAGCAATTCAGTTCATGGTCCGCAGGCTTTGGACTCACGATTTCCTCAGCGTCTCAATTCTGGGCCTTACCATTGATTATGGTCCTTACGCGTTCATGGACGTCTTTAACAATTATCACATCTGCAACCACAGCGATGGAGAAGGGAGGTACATGTATCAGGTAGGAAGCAAGATATTCCGTCTTATTCTCATGCTAATATCCCATCTTCTAGGCTCAACCATCTGTCGTGTAAGCTACTGCACCGAATTGAAGGTCTTCGCGTAGGCTAACGTACAAGTTCCCAGCCTGTATGCTCTCCGGGCTCTTCTCAGCGCTCTGGCTCCCCTTATCGGCTCAGAAGCCGCGCAGGGTAACAAGGCTGTGGGTCCTGGCTGGGCGGATAATGCGACCCCTGACCAGATTTCTGAATGGAGCAAGCGAGGCCGAGAGCTCGTTCTCAGGGGGCTAGAGGACCTATTTCAGGATGTTTGCGCCGAGGAATACAGACGGCTCATGCACAAGGTAGCAACTTGTCGCTTTGAGGCCGTTGACGTTCTGCTCACATTCCGGTGCTAGCGCCTCGGGCTGCGCCGCCTAGATGGCCAGGACGAGTCGAGGCTCTCGCGCCCGCTGCTGGATCTCATGGCCGACCACAAGCTGGACTTCCACTCCACGTTCCGCCGCCTAGCGTACTTCCGTCCGGCCATGGCGAGGCCCGCCGAGGGCAGCGACGGCGAGAACCCGGTGCTGGAACAATTCGTCAAGTCTATTCTGAGCTTGACGCCCGAACCCGGGATGGTCGACGCACTCAAAGCGACGTCCGACGTCAAGGCTTGGCTGAAAACCTATGCTGAGCGCATCGAGAGCGAGCGGGGAGAGTGGGAGGGTGCGGGCGATGTCGATGCCGCCCGAGAGCGTGCCATGCGGGCCGCAAATCCGAGGTTCGTCTTGAGGCAGTGGGTCCTCGAGGAGGTAATCAAGAAGGTTGAGGGCGACTATGAAACGGGAAAGCGTATTCTTGCGAAGGTTCTGCAGGTATGTGCCATTGGCGCACTTGTGGTTTGTCCACTCTGATGGTGTATGATGCAGATGGCGTGTGACCCCTTCGAGTCCTGGGGCGACGAGGACGATCCGACGCCGGAGGAATCGCTCGACCCCGAGATTCGAGAAGAAAGACGCTATTGTGGCATTGGCGAAAAGAAAATGCTTGGCTTTCAGTGCAGCTGCTCGAGCTAGATCGTATTCGAGGCTTTGAGCGGTAATGGAAAATATTATTATATTCGAACTACCCTAGTTAGGATCCTATCTACTTCGTGTACAGTATGATTACAATGATGACCGATATCCGTGCTGCAAATATAGTTACACTCGGTGACTAGAGTCCCATGATTTGAGCCACCACGTGTGGAACGCAGTACACTTGCTGCACCAATACTTGCTGAGACCGAGCCTCGCCAGTACTTCCCTAGATGCGCCGGAGACGTCCCAGTGAGATGCTTCACCGTCGAGCACAGCATCAGAGGCGAGCTATTCTTGCCAATGCGCAGCAGACACCGCCGGCGCGACTCGTCACACGTGCGGCGAACCCCTCGCTGGCTTCGATGATCACGAACCCGCTCATTTTTCGCCCGATTCATGAGACACGATGCAGAAGACATGCCGGGCGTGGTGGGGGCCAATTAAAAGACGGCGACCGATAGGCTTTTGGACGCGATCGCGAGCCAAGGGGATCGACTGGACAAGGACCCGGTATGTGCACTGGAGCTCGGGTGCGGCGAAACCGTGACGTCGCCTGAGGCCCGTCTCATCGCTCGCCCTCTGTTTAGTAGGGCGCACAAAGATGGGCTGCGCGGTCACAGGCACGCTAAAGCCCAGACGGCGGCGGGTCCTATCGTTGCCATTCCTAGGTGCCCCCATGACTCTGTCGGCGGTCGGGTTCCTTCCCTGAGTAGGGGCTGTGGTCGGCACAGTGGATTTGCTTCCTGTGGAGACCATAGGCAAGCTCGGGGCGCCCTAATGAATGGCAGGCTCGTGTCATCCATATGTGCATGCAAACCTCAAACAGAACTCTGACCTGTGACGCCCTTGGTTCTTCGTGGGGTTAACCACAACCCAGCGACAGCTTTTAGCTTATAGGGACAAATAAGGGACCTGTCTTGAGCATGTGAAGTACCTGAATATATGAAGGGAACTATAAAGTAGGTCCAATAAGCTGTTATTGAACGGTCCTGAAATCCGCTGGAGTATATCTACTCACATTCTCCTGCCAGGTAGAAAAGGATCATCGCACTTGTGCTTGTTATTTATGCCCATGTATCCTGTATATTTCGGCAATATGAGGCGCGAGGACGGTGGAGAGCTGTTGCAAGCAGGCGTTGGCTGACTAGAGAGGCGGGGTATCTCGTTTGGACAGGTTCACGGCGAGCAGAATGCTGGTGCCCACAGCCGTGCTCGGCGCCACCAAGCTCGGAATTGCCAATCCGACTGTCTCGTTAACGGGCTGTTCAGCCGATGGCGGAGTTCCGACATAGAGTGAGTTCCGGCAACGTTAGATGAGACTCCATACGGAAGAACTGCTGACCTCCTTCTGCCACCAAGCCTCACTGTTACACTGTCACACGTCGCTTCCGCGGTTCGCACGGATCCATGCCGCGAAGGGTCCAGAGACAAAGGTCTCACATGGAGACTCTTGTGACCTTGAAACTGATGCAGCTCATGATTGGCTGCGGGCATATGACATAGGAGGGAGGAGACTAGCTCGGTTGAACCTCCTCCCAAGGGTCATCTGAAGCCTTGTACGGCGCCGTGATTATTGTGAGGTTTGCTGCGCAATGAAGAAAGTTGAGAGATGGGAGCGACCCTCGCATCAACTATTGTACACCAGCCTGCTGACCCTGGACTTGTGGGAAGTCTCGGCGGCGCAGGACCAGGGTGGTTGAAGGTTGACAAGGCTGAGAGGTCGGCGCCCTGGAAAAAGCTGGGACAGGGCTGTCAGCGTTTGAAGCTTTGAGGCCGTGTGTCGAAAATTGTGACGGAGACAAGCATGACTGCAAGCGTCTCGTGAGAAACGCCGTGGTTGGTTGGGACTTGGTGATGCATTGCCAGATTGGGCGACGGATGTTAGTGGTCGATCGGGACGATCCCGGCGTCTTATTCCCCCACGGGGTGGGCGCCTCTGAGCGTCCGCTCGTACGCGCGTTCCTCGCCTCGACCACCACGACCAGCACGGAAGGCTCCAGCTTTATCTTCACCCCGATTCCTGGACGGTACATTGGCTCGCACACGTTGGAACACGCCTTGAACGTTCGACAAGACCCTTGATAACGCCTCTGTGAACGACGTGAAGACCCGGGTCTTTTTCTTGACATCCGCTCTCCCGTAAACGACGTCGAAGACTTGCTTCAGCCTGCTCTGCGCGCAGTCGTGGCGTCTTCTGTGAGAGCCAGCTTCCAACAATGTCGCTTCTAGATTGTCTCGCTGCCGCTTCGCATCCCACACACTTCCTTTTTGTGCACTGTTTTCGCAACGTTGCGCTTGGCGATGGAGCCAGCCTTGACGTGAGTTTCCGTGTCACGTCTCGAGAAAGCTATTCTGTCGTCCTCTATGGACTCTCACGATCCTTCCGTTGATCGTCACTTTGCTTCCGTGAGGCGAGCAAGCTGGCAGTGATCTATGGCGACCACATATATCGCTCGGGCCCATGGCTGGAAGACAAGACGCAAGAGAGCGGGAGGCTCGTCATTAACCCTCTCTAACCAATGCACAATTGGCGTCTGGTGTCCATTCATGGGCTGAGGGTATCTCCTCGGACGCAGTTCCTGGAGCCATCCGTGCGCTTCGTGCATATCATCGGCCATCCGACACTGTTCGCGAAGCCGTACAGCAGTGAGAACTCTGTTCTGATCCAGTGGGCTGGAGCT